GGACTGTGCCGCCATCTTGCGCTTCACTGAGCAACTACAGTTACAACGAATGACCAAACCAGAGCGAACGAAGGAGATTAACCAGCAAATAAAGCGACAAGAACAATTAATCCTTCTAGAATGTTTTAGCCAAGCTAAAGTGAAAAACGAGGTAGGTTCACAAAACAAACTGCAGGTTGCTTTTGCAGAACCTTTAAAACCATGACTGTTGGAAGCGACTATTTCCATGAGAGTCTGTTTCCTATGTGAATAGTGCTCTAAAGTCTGAGAAGGAACTGAACACTGGAAAAAGTAGCAGGGTGGAAATCTGACATTGTAATTACTCATTTTACAGACATGAATTCAGTTACATGTGGCCTCCTTCATGTTGATCGAAGCATTTACAATCAACCTATGCTTTATTTAGTTACACATGCATGGGCTCAAATGGAAAAATACATTCCCAATGTATTTATCAAACATATTTTTACAATGTATGAAAATGGCCAAATGTATTTGTTAAAACATATTTTTAAAATGTTGTTTTATTCTTGCATTTATCATATTTTTTCAATTGTATGTAGTTTTAACAAAGGCTACAGATATAACTAAATATACATGAACTGAATGGACAGTACTGACTTTGCATTAATCATGTACGTATGCAGTAAGACACACACACAACGCATTTCAAATAAACAAGATATCAAATCATAACTGCATTTTTTACAGTGTATCAATACCTACAACACTTGTGTCATGTTAAAGGTTAATCTGCTTATATTAAAAATTAAGATACTGGAATGAAAATTAATTTTAAAAATTGTCCCAAACAGTAAAGTTTATTAGACAAGCATTTTGGCAATTTTAATACATTTTCAAATGTATTTGATAAATATATTTACCTATTTACCTATATTTATTTTTGTGTGGTACATTTCTATGTGTAGTATTTCCCCATACATCTTACAATAAATGTATTTAAGAAAAAGTAGAATAAATTTTATATATATAATACATTTTAGTATTTGGAACGTATTTTAGCATGGACTGCAACATATTGAAAATGTATATATCATATACAAATATATATGTCCATAATTTTATTTTCAATATGGGTGCTCTTATGGTTCTACCACTAAATCGCCAGTATGATGATCTTTATGTTGTTGCCTTGATCTCTACTCTTCCATGTTGGAACACCCCAACGCAGGAGTAGGTGGTGCCCAAGTCAATCCCAATAGCTAGTCCTTTTGCTGACGTGGCTGATTATAGTCAAGCTGGAAAATACAGAAACAGTACCATCTAAAGTAAGTAAAAGCACAACTTCAGGACAATAAATAGTTCAATATAAGCAGATGTTTTTGTAAACTTTGCCTAAAGATAATTCTGACTTTTTAAACTTCTGTATAATTCAGTGACTGAGATGTAAACAAATTCAGAGAGGTCTGATGTGAAATGGTTCAATATACGAAAACTTGCTGACCCTGATTACTTTACCATGGCGGTGATTGGAACCAGAGGCTGAAACGTATACAACACTAGTCATTTTATTTGTCATATAAAATGGCCAATGAACCTACACATGTCCAAGTTTTTTATATATAATCCCAGATAGCAAGAGGAGAGTGGCCGTCAAAGTTGGCGGCCCACTGGCTTTTTGCGCACCGTTTTCTTTGCGGCTCACTGATGCTGAAACAGAATGGTAGACAAAATGGCATTTTTCAGTGCTAATTTTCCACTCACAGTCCAATTTACTATTTTTCCTTTCTTTTTTCCATAATCCTTTGTAAACTGGTTTAAACTGGAGTTTTTAAACACTGTGTCCACTCACTGTCCACTCTATTAGACACTCCTACCTTGTCAGTCCACCTTGTAGATGTAAAGTCAGAGGCGATAGCTCATCTGCTGCTGCACAGTTTGTGTTGGTCATCCTCTAGTCCTTCATCAGTGGTCACAGGGCGCTGCCCACAGGACGCTGTTGGCTGGATATTTTTGGTTGGTGGGACTATTCTCAGTCCAGCAGTGACACTGAGGTGATTAAGTCTTTACATGCTGTGTACTGATTTTAAAGTAGTTAAAGTCCCAATTCATCACACTTGGGCATCAGGTCTTCATTTCACAGTGTTCTGAAGTTTATACACAAAAATATTTACACTCACGAGGAAAAGTTTAAAAACCAAAGCTGTATATGAATGACTCCACTGACTCCTCAGTCAGCATCCGGCAGTCATTTCTCCAAACAGAACTACTGCAATTCTGCTCCAATTAATCTGACTTTTCCAAAGCACAAAGGAACTAACTCCTCCATTGTCCCCCTTCCCTCTTAAACTGGTAGCCCCTGTCACATTGGATCTGGGTCATACCACTGTTTAAATGTCGGGATGACAAGAAAACAAACAATGCACATAAACCGATCAGGCATAACATTATGACCACCTCCTTGTTTCTACACTCATTGTCCATTTTATCAGCTCCACTTACTATATAGGTGCACTTTGTAGTTCTACAGTTACAGACTGTAGTCCATCTGTTTCTCTGCATACTTTGTTAGCCCCCTTTTACCCTGTTCTTCAGTGGTCAGGATCACCATGGACCCTCACAGAGCAGGTACTATTTGGGTGGTGGATCATTCTCAGCACTGCAGTGACACTGACGTGGTGGTGGTGTGTTAGTGTGTGTTGCGCTGGTGTGAGTGGATCAGACACAGCAGTGCTGCTGGAGTTTTTAAACACCTCACTGTCACTGGTGGACTGAGAATAGTCCACCAACCAAAAATATCCAGCCAGAAAGAGATGGACTACAGTCTGTAACTGTAGAACTACAAAGTGCACCTATATAGTAAGTGGAGCTGATAAAATGGACAATGAGCATAGAAACAAGGAGGTGGTCATAATGTTATGCCTGATCGGTGTATATATGACATACATACCCACTATGGCCATTTCTCTTCATACATACATACATACATGTGCAAAATCAACATATAAATAGTACTGATAACCCCAGGAAAGTAGAAGTTTAGATTAAACTTAGATCAAATGCCTGCCAAAATAAAAGTCACCTTAATGTCCATGGAGTTAAGAGGTGAACTACACTTCATATATATATATATATATATATATATATATATATATATATATATATACTCAGAGGTGGCAGAAGTCCCTTACTAAAGTAAAAGTAAGCAGGAGTGTAAAAGTACATGTTCATAACTGTACTTGAAGAAGTGAAAGTTTTTCTTTAAAATTCATTAAACAGAATATCTTTTTATTGAGGGTTAGAGGCATAAATCCATCAAATTGAGTGTACATAATGGTTTATATACTGCAGGCATCATCCACAAAAACCCACGTCTAAAGCACCCAAACACATTTATATGTTTGACTTCTTTACAAGAAGTTGAGATGGACATTATTGGAATCTCTACTAAAAACATAGATTTTTATTTTAGCAATCAATAGTGAACTACAGACTGATTCGTTCTTTTAAGTAAGGCCACAAAATCCATAATGTCCTGCAGTGTCATTACATCTGGTCTGTTAGCTTTTCCGAACAGTCTGCAGCACCTTCACTACAAAGAATGAGTCTGTTTACCGCAAACACAACTTCTGCCCAGGAAAGACGACAAAACTAAGTTAAAATCAGACAACAGATTTTTACTTATACAAAGTTAAACCTACAAAGTCAAAGATGTACAAACTTAAAACCTAATAATTACCAAGACCAAAAACACAGGTTACTGCCTCAGCGGGTAGACCCAAATGAAGATGACATGAAAGTTAAATCAACCAGTTGATGTGCCAAGACCAGGAAAAACAACACAGCAATCTTAAACACCTAAACCTAATCATCCTAGGCTAAAGCGTACTGCCACGGCAGGCATGAAACATGTTTATGGTTTAAATGTGTCTTACCTGTAATGACTCCATGCACTGAAGCAACGTCTGTCCAGGTGTCTGAACATAACCACTACATCATTTAAGGTGGAACAGAAAATGAAGCAGCTTCGTCTAGTCTTTATCCACTGTACGAGTCTGTTACAGTCAGAAAAACAGGGCTGTATCATCTGAGACAGGGGCCGCTGGTTTAACCCCCAAAATATTAGATATACACTTAGATGTAACATCTACAGTTTGAGCGTTTCTTGTGCTGCGAGTTTATTCATTAGCTCACAGTATCGGCTCACCAGAAATTTTTTCAGACTCTCCCAATAACCCACTCCAAGACTGATAAGGCCATAGATGCTGGTATTTTTTTCAGACTCATCGTCCACGTTAAGCGCTGGCTCGGCACCGTCACTTTCAGTGGATTCCACCGTCTCATCTGTTTATCTTCCTTTTTCCCGCGGGCTCATTGCTGGGGCCAGTAAGCTGTGAAAGTAGCCAATCACAGCTTCGCTCCACTCCCTCCCTCACCCCACCCTGCTCAGCACCAATTTGCGCTTTGTTAGGTGCCCTAATACAACCATCTGATTAAAAATAAATAACTAAATAAATTAACAAAATAGATTGTTAAAACTAAAGTGTTAAAAACAGAGTAAAAAGTACATTTTTTTTCTTGAAATGTAGTGAGTAAAAGTAAAAAGTATTAAGTGACAGCAATACTCAAAGTACAGATACTTAAAAAAATTATTTAAGTACAGTAACAAAGTTGTACTGTGAAGTACTGTGTATGTATATAAACAAACATTATTAAGGCTCCTTAACATACAACAGTAAAAACACCGATATACAGTAAGTAATCTCAGATAACAATAGATATTTAAAGAGGAACGGCACTGACACACGGGGAAAACATAAACACAATAAAATGCTTTAAATATCCAAAAGTGAATAAAACTGCTATGTAGAAAAACAATACAATGTATTTAAAAAGAACATGAGCTGCTAATTTGGCTTATCGAATGTGTGCATGCAACTCTGTTTTTAATTGCTCTGTGTAACTGTCAAGTTGCAAGGAAATTAAGTTGCATGCAACTAGTTTCATTTTGTAAAGCCAGCCTTAGACAGACAACGGTACACATTTTTTCTGGATGTTTATTTCAACAGCACAATTCCATACAAAATACAAAATCGAAAACAAAGAGAAAAAAAAAATCAGACAAAAACACATTTCACAAAAAATGGTGCAAATAAACCATTATAAAGGAAAAACTGTTTACCAGTGAGCAGCACAAGGTGAAGAAACAGAGTTCAACAACTAAACCTTCCACAAATGAGCAATACACAGCTGTTTCCTGGAAAGATTACGCCTAGTCCTATTTTAGTTTTATTCTTCATTTTTTAAGTGCAGGGCTAAACTTAATCTATATCTGGAAATGATGCTCTTAAATGTAACACTAGAAAGAGTATATAAAAACTTTATCAATGGTGGTGGAGCCTATGCTGGTCCCGGACAGAACGGAGTGTAGATAGGGCAGAGGTTACAGATGCCTTTTTGGAAATCAGTAGGGCCTCTCTCTGCGGTCCTGCCTGTGTTCACCCCTAAAAAAAATAAATAAATAATAATAATAAAAATTAATAAATAAATAACACAACATGACGTTCATATGTTTAAATGTCTCAGTAAACAAGCAGACAAATATAACCTCTGTTGACTGACATGCCAAAACAGTGGAGCTGTCTACTGAGAAATTTCTGACTTGTGTATGACTTGTAAGACTTGACTCTCACCGTGAGTCCATCTTCCCAGGACCGTATCCTCCCCGGTCTCCGCCTCTACCTCCTCTGAAGCCCCCTCGGTCACCACCTCGTCCACGGAACCCACCACGATCAAAACCACCCCTGCCCCGCTCACGGTCTCCACCATAACCTCCTGAGAGATAAGGAGACAGTTATAAGAAGTTACTAAAGCTGAATACGTACTAGTCTTCAATAATAATTCTTTAAAGCACATAAAGGCATACGCAAGTTTCAACAACACTGGTCAAATTATGTTTTGCCGTTTTTTTTTTCTTCTTTACAGCGAACAACTTAAAGATGCAATTTTTCTGCAACTTCTAGTGCACAATTTCTACTTTTTGCCTTTTTTCAACATACTGGGGAGAGCAGAATGTAATCTGTGACCTTAGGCATCAGAACGTAACTGCTGCACTGAAATCAGCTGTCAAAAAAGAAGCTGATTTCAGCTTCATCAAGAGTTGAAAGGCATGAAAAGGGATGAGGAGGTTGCTCTGTTTCTGCTTGACAAGTAGATAACACTGACTTACTTTTGCTGTTTCACAGAAGTCATCTTGGACTAAGATATTATTGCTTCTTTGTGCAAAGCGGCCATATATTTTTTGTTATTTCAAGTTATGAGTTTCAGTTTTTTCACTGTTCTGAGGTCAATGATTCGAGGCATCTCTAGTTATGGTTACTACTGGGTACCGTGTAGCTCCCTGTCCACAGGAGAGAAATTCAAGGTTCGGCCCACTCGTGAATTTGTCATGCCCTTCCAAAACAGCAGCCTGTCTGCCGTCTGGCGCAGGCACACTAAAAAAGACTGGCCCACTAGGAATGTTCCCAGATATCCTGACAGCCAGTTTGTACCTGTACTCAGAGTCCTCACAATAGCCACGTTTACATGCAGCCTGATAATCCGTTAATAATCCGACTAATAGCTCAATCGGAATAAAACACGTCCATGTAAACACCTCAATCGGAATAGACTAGTCCGATTGAGGCCATTCGGAATACAATTTCTATCCGATTGAACGAGGTGGGTAAACTTCTAAATAATCCGTTAAATAGAAGAATAATAGCCATGTAAACGCCTGAATCCGATTACATTCCAATCGGAACGTGTAAGTATGTTCTGCGCATGTGCGTCGCGTCATGGCGAAAGTTTATACCGTTCAGCATGGCGGAGCAGAAACGGGTCTGCAGGGGAGACGAAGTTTATGCTCTGAGCTTTAAAAGACGGACGACCAGCTTATGAGTCTCAGAACACGACGTCTTCCTCTCGCCGCTTCCTTTATAAGCACATGTGAAGCACGTCTGACATCATTTTAAAGCAATTAAAACACAAGCGCGCCAACTGGAAACTCATATCACGCGGACTGGACCTCACGTGATGTTCGTTGTCATGGTAACGATTACTCTAAACGCTACTCCACGCATGCGCGTCATTTTGCATCGGATTACTTGTAGTGAGCATGTAAACGAAGATTTTCCATCAAATCGTTGAATAGAGTGTGCATATAAACACCTCAGTCTGAATCTGTAATCGGATTGTATTCAATCGGATTGGCAAAAATCTTTGCATGTAAACATAGCCAATGACTTATGAAAACGTAGTGTGTGGAGGGAAATATTGGGCACTCAGTATTTTACCTCCCATCGGCGGCATTCCTCCTCCAGCACCCTCGGGTTTGGCCGCTTTACACTGGTTACACTCGTTACGCCATGAGAAGTTCAGATTTCCACATGACCTTCACAAAATAGATCAGATAAATATGCACAAAAGTCTGATTATATGTTGTATTATTAAGTATGTTTGTAGATGACCAAGATATACATTAAATATGTAAGTGCATTAAACATGCACTCACGGGTTTGAACATTTCCAGTCTCCAGCTCTTTGCTGGCCTCCGCCGCTGCCATTATTACCAGGGAAACCACCACCCCTACCACCACCAAATCCACCTCTTCCCATTGGCCCTAAAACAGACAGAGGAGAGCAATGCTTATTATTATTAGGACTGTTTTTATCCCAAATACATAAAACTATAGGACAACACACACACAGCCCACCTCCTCGCCCACGGCCACCTCTCATGCCTCCACCTCCACGGCCAAAGTCAGCCCGGCGTGTAGCAAAGGACACCTTAATGGGGTTTCCATTAAAATCTTTACCTGTGAACATCCAGAGAAGACATCCAAGACATATGAGGAATCCAGTGGGTTACCTAGTACAGCTTCTGACCATTCGTAGGACAGTGTCTGTAATCTACGTGTTGCCATTCAGGAAACAAAGGCAACCCAATATGTTTTAGGCAAACAACAAATTGAAACACACTGAGGTCCAGAGCCAAAACAGCTAATTGTGTCGGCATATAATTATTTACCAACAGTACTGTAAGTACACGACAATTCAAAAACTTGGAATTGATGTCCTTGGTGTTCTTAAAAAATTAAACTATTCAATATAACATTTCAAATAGCTTAGGGTACTTAAATCTACACTGAATACTTTATTTCTCCACGTAAATAAAATAATATTTTAATAGCTATTACTATGTACATAAAATACCTGGTGCACTATAGTTTTAAAAATATGTTTAAGGAATTTTAAAATTGCATATACATATAATTTCAAAATAAATATTCTCAAAAAAATAGTACATCAGTACTGTCTTATTATTGTTACCTACAACTATTACTTATTTCTGAGATATTTATCTTAACATTTAACTCTTATTACTATAAATGATTCAGTAATTACTATGAAACTAAATGTAAATAGTGATGTTATGAGAGTCAAGTATGAAAATCTGGACTCACAGAGAGAACTTAATGGTGTAAATGGTTGAATTATTTCATAGACATGAGGCATCAAATACAGACCCACCGTCAAACCAGTCAATGGCAGCTTTAGCAGAAGGAGGATCATCAAAGGAAACAGTAGCCTCTCCTTTCAGCTTGCCCGTCTCTCTGTCAGTGTACAGATTTATCATGGGCAATCCTGTCTTCTTATTCATCTGTACGAGAAGAAAAATCAGACAGAGTGAAAATAAGCAGTCATGGAGCAGTTCATGGCTTCTGTTTCTCGTTTCTCACTACATACCTTGATAATGCCAATCTGTTTAAAGAAATCTGCGACAGAGTCCACGGTATAGTTGTCTCCCAGGCCTTGCACAAAGATGGTGTTGTTATCAGAATTATCCTGCTCCTGCACTGTAAAACACAAACATCAAGACTCAACCATAACGCCTTCAGTAAGTGCCTAATATCTGTGAGTAGAAGCTAAGACTGAGGGTTTCACTTACTGTTGGGCCCACCGGGTCCGTGGTCCCGTGGTCCTTTGGAGTGAAGCAGAAAGCATGACTACTAATGCCCATGTAACCACCCCAAAGACATGTACACAACACATGCAGACACAAAAGTAATTTTAACAAGCAAAAACTGTGAGTATTCACTGCTCGACCGACTGAAAGTGAGGAATCCTTCTGGATTCACATGTGCAAAACTACTGACTTCTTTGGTGTTACATTGAACCCTAAACCAAATAACCAACTGAAAATAATCAGTCTTTGTTTTTTTTCCACACAAGAACCACTCAAACCATTTTTGCTACCACACTTAAGCTCTTCCAGGAAGATGACATTAGAAAAAAACCCTTCCATTGAGTACCTTCATTTTTGAAAGGCCATTTCTTCTTCTTACCAATAAAAAAATGATTGAATATCAAAATGTGTTGGCGAGAAACCGTCCACGAGTACAGGATTTTCCCATTACCGCTGTCTCCCAATCATCTCTCCCAATGTACATTATAACACCAGTGATTCTACCATGCTATGGCATGCACTCTTTTCTTTTCAAGGTGTTCAGCTCTCTTTCAGGTGTTCAGCAATAGCAGTGTTAATTTGAACATTTCCTTCCATTAAATGAACCCATGTCATTTTGCCTCTATGGCACACCGTCCTCATCTCCAGAGGAAACTTGAGAGGGTGCTACCATTGTTATAACCATTTTTGACCACCATTGTTACAACCACTTTTGACCACCATCAACCAAACCATTATTTCTGATCCCAGCATTTTGATGTTAAAAAGATCCACCAGGAAGCTTCACCGTCCTCAATGTTACCATGAGAGCAGCCCCAGGAGGCCTTACCGAATTCACTTCAGTATATTCTGGGCCCAAGTTTCTCAGTGTCATCTGACTCAAATTCTTTGGAAACCATCAAAGATGCCTACATGCAACCATGTGACATAACACGATCAAAGTCCAGAACTCAGAATCCATTCTTATTGTGTGTCATTTCAGATGTTCATCTTGCGTTGAAGACAGACTGAGGTGTATGAGGTGCATGACACATCATAGTTGAGGTACCATTCAAGAAGAGTGCGTTTCAGACTTGTTTTGAAATACTCAGTCCAGTTTGTACGTGTTTTTCTCCTTCCAGAAATTCTATGTTCAAACCATACTTGCATTTGGTTTTAATTTGAAAATAGTTTGACACCTTGAAAAATCAGAATGGTGGAGCAGAATTTGTCTCAATGGTTTTTGGTGGTTTTGCTTGGTTTTTCTTAGGGGGGAAAAAAAACAAAAAAAACACCTTCCTATGTCCACCATTAGGTTTTCTGCCAAACCATATACAGAAAAACAAAAAACACCCAAAAAAATTATTTTAACCATACCATTTTAAAAATAGGAATCACTTGTTGGTAGGAGGATTTTTATGATCTTATGGTTTCGTTACCATGCTCCCCAAGTAGCTCTGTGTTTGTGAGCTTGCACATTGTCCACAAGTGGTCTTTAACTTCATATATCTTATACATGCACCAAATACATAAATTAGCAAAACCTTTTACTCCGATTGTTGTACACCAGACAAAGAAAGGCCAAAGCAAGCAAACATCAAAAATGATTTCTGGCCATTTAAGGTGACACTGAGACATAAACACTGAATTAATTACCGGTTAAAAAGTCATAATTTAGTGTCAAGGGTGGCACGCAGTTAAAGTGTTAACTAGGGTGTTGTTCAGTGCACTCAAACAACTTCACACGGTCATTTTTCAGAGATGGTGACGGACCAACAACACACGAACCTAAACCAACCGCTGTTATACCAAAACCAGTAGAATGCTCATATAACCGAACCACACATCATCTTCTAGCATTTCCTTCCATAGTTACCATGACAAATCCAACACAAATTACCATTCCCATTCTTCTGAGAGATTACCAGATCCCACTCCCTCTTAAACTCAAGCACGCTCGAAACCCCCTGAAGTTCCTAAGAGTTTGTCACTTACCACCAAACTTATTGAATCCTCCACGATCGCCCATTCTGATGGAGAGGGAAAGAGAAGCGAGACGAATTGAAGGTTGATGAGGCTGGTGCCCCATTTCACTCTTGACGTTGGGAAGGGCTCCCCTCTTATCGCTTTCTATTATGCCTCCACCCCGCCCCTTTTACTCACTGTCACCTTTCCTTTAACTCAAGCTTTGCCCACAGGGTGACCCATGATGTCGTTTTGGACTCTTACTGGACAGCATGCAGTAAAAGGTTCTTCATCATGACCACCGAGGCTTATCGATCTCGTGGACAGCCTCTAAGCACGCTGGCCACAATTTAAACTATATCTCTGCATATCATTTCAGACCTCTGATTGGTCTACAAGCCTTTTCCTCTAAAGACCAAACTCTTTTCCTCACCAGTAGACCCAATTTTACATTATATGTTTGATCACATTCAAGGTAAATTTGGGATTGGCAGGGTTAACAACCATTTACGTCACTGGGATTTTCCCCCCGTTTTTCCATATACCTTCCGTTTAGCGGTGATGCTTTGGCTTTACCATTCAACAAAAACATTACTACCACCACTGAGGACTTTTTTCCCAATTTTTCATGGTTTTCTCCCTCTAAATCAGCCCTTACTTTCCCCACAGATATGCTAAAAACTACTAATCCTGTTGGTCTCCCATTCTTCAAAAAGGAAAAATAGGAGAACCCTGAAGAACCAAGAGCCTAGAAGGAGATTTAGAGATTTCGTTAAAACATTAAATCACACAGTGATCCTGACGGAGAGGATGGAGGTCAAAGTGTAAAGGGTCATGGAGTGTGGAGAGTTTACTTTAACAGTCCTAAGTCTGAACAAGCAGTTTTGTATGCTTGAGGATTGTCATACATCTCAATTTTAAGTCACTTAACCAGAGTTTTTTTTTCAGCTGCATCATTTAAACTGTTACATACTTGAACAAATGAAATACACCTAGGTATTTCAAATATTTCCTTTGGGAACGTAGTCATCTTGGATACTACATATTAATAGTATTGTTTAAAGAGTACCTGTACACCTCATATGTCATCATGCAGTGTGAACTTGTGCCTGTTGGACATGTAATCTGATAGACAAGGTTGCTAATGTAACCCAACCTACATAGGCTTGTTTCCTAAGACAGTTCCAAAACCATTCATTTGATGTTTCTCCATTCATGTCTTCAATTGTGAAGGCCAAGACAATGTTTCCACATAGTTAAACAGGTTCTTCACTTATAAACCTCCAGTTTGGATAACCACTTCACTATTCACCAAAGTCTAGCGGTCCCAAAGAGTAACCTTCAGAATACCTCTGAATGTTTGCGTTATAGTTTAGACCAATCATGTTATAATGGTACCATATTTCCAGCTCTTTCCATTTTACAAAACCAATCATTGAACCTTTGTGCTTAAATAATACCACATCGTTCCATGTATTACTTTTAACCCACAATTACAGTTTTTCCTTTTTTCTTCAGTAATGGAAAACTAATGTTGACAAGTGACAAAAAAATGGCTTTTTAGGGAGTGAAGAACAAATAAAAGTGCTTACCCCATTCCCCCTCTGCCTCGGGGTCCTCCACGACCCCCTCTGTCAAATCCGCCCGATCCACGACCTCCGAAACCACCTCCTCCACGGCCACGTCCACCTCGGCCATCCTGCCCACCGTAACCCCCCCCACCTCCACTCATGGGTGGGGCATCCTGATTGTACCCTGATACAGAGCAAGAGGTGATAAAGGCTACAGCATGAAAGCTTAGAACACTGAGCAACTGGATGGATGGATAACAAAAAGCTTGTAAATGACACCCAGTGAATAGTAACTGCAGGGTACTAAGTAGCTGATTTGACATCAGCCAATTATTCCGTTACCTTACTTTATTATCAAAATCATCATCAACCTTTATTTAAAAAGTACAATGAAGGTGACCCTCATTTGCAAATGAGGCCAAGCATTAGAACAGAGGACAAAGGACTGAAAAGAGTAAAACAAGAGAGTGTTTGATTTTGGCTTCTGTTCTTTTTTAAAAAGTTGGTCTTAGACCGTTTACCTGTTGCATTTTATGTGTTATTGTTCATCAACCTCAAAACCTTTATTGTGTTAAAAGCCCTATTTAGATTAAGTTTATTTTTCCAAACTTCTGCATAAGAGTGCATGAAAATGACCTGAGTATGAGGGAGTTTCTAGTGGGTTGTATTTTCTACAAACCCGGTAATTTGTTTTGCGTGGTCATTATTTACACAAAACTATAAGTTGATACACCTGTAGCTGCCCTTATAATTGCCACTTTAATCAGCCTGTGGCATCTTACTTTTCCTGCTAGTGCTCCCCCAGTGTAAAGAGGATGGAGACCAAGTTCTACCACCCACAATCCAGGAAACGTTTAATATGGATATGTGACTCCTTCAAAAATCAGCCCAACACAACCTACTACATGGCAGGCCACATCCACAGAGACAGTAAAACAAAGCTTTCACACTCACCTCCTCCTTGTCCATACTGATTCTGTTGTCCATAGCTTTGGGGTGGAGGTGAACTGTAACTGGGAGGCTGGCTGTAAGGACCCCCTCCATGCGGAGAGGAATGTTGCTGCCCTCCACTACCTCCATATCCCCCACTCTGTCCTCCACTGCCTCCGTATCCTCCACCCTGGCCTCCGCTGCCACCATAACCACCACTCTGTCCCCCATAGCCTGATGACTGACTGCTGCTGCCGTAACTGTGAATAGAAAATTACAGAATAAAGTCCAGGGCTTATATAATCTATTATTAAGATAGCGTTATTCAATATCATAAGAACCCTTACCAGCTGTGAAAACAAAACATGGTTACGTTAATACTTTGTTTACACAGATGTAATGTTGAGGTTACAATTTATAACAAACAAACTGCAAGTTCACGAGGAAACAAAGATCTTAAAGCATGTTTTGACATTTGGGGAAGGAGAGAAAATAGTGTGAATTTGATTTATTTATTTATTTATTTATTTTGATGAACTACCATTGTAAACCCAACTCATTCACAAGCCCATACTGACCTAGAAGCAGGGGGTGGGGTTGACTGTTGCTGGCTGTAGCCCGAATAGGAGGACTGTTGATTGTAGCTTCCTCCCTGTGGGGGCTGGCTGCTGCTATTGTAGCCTCCAGAGCTGTAGGACTGACTCGACTGATTGTAGCCCTGGGACGGGGGCTGGGATCCATATCCACCTGGTCAATAGAGAGTGAATTAAAATAACAAAAAACTAAAACCTACATTTACAAGTTCACTCTTAAGCTCCAAAATGAACTCTTACCGACTTTTCTAAGCACTTATCTGTGAATACTGATTTGATTTTTAAATCAACACACATCTTTTCTAAATATCTAGCGCTTATTGTGAATATTTATTCATTCATTCACGCATTTCTAAGGAAGAGCCCCTGGCTTCATAGGTCTCAGGGGCTCTTTTTCATGAGGGGTGGATAAAATGAAATAAAACAAAATGTAACAATAATAATAACAACAACAACAACAACAACAAATAAATGATAAAATAATTAAATTAGATCACAGCATTTGATTACACCTTAAAATATGGTAAAATATACACAAATACAAAAGAGATACACATAAAATATGAATTTTTTAACATTTAGTGTTATCCGAAAACACTTCTGATATTTTCTGATTGAAAATATTCCAAGTGTATGGTGCATAAAAAGCAAGAGCTTTGTTCCCCAATTGTGAATTAACTCTTGGCACCACAAAGGATAATCTAGAACGTGAACAAAGGTCACATGAGCCTCCGCTCTGACCAACAATGAGCTCAAGTAAGTTGGCAACTTGCCCCAAGAAGTATTTTATAAATAAAAACAGTGTCTATACTGTCTGTTAGACAGTGAAGTCTGCTAAACATTAGAATAAAGATCACAATGGTGAGCAGAATATCCATCTCCTGTTATGAATGTAACTGCACAATGATAAAACGAGTCCAATAGGAACAAACATTCATATAAATAAAATCCCCATAATCAAAAATGAAGAAAAATATGATTAATTTCTGCACAAAAAACTAAGCTTGATTTCCTGATTAACTCTTGGACAGTTTGCCAAACAACAATTTGTTATCCACACTCAAGATGGTGCTTCAAGGGTTCTTCAGTAAAGAAAATGGTTCTATATGGAACCAGGAACACTTAAAGAACCCTCTGCATCATGAAAGGTTCTTCAGACTGATGGAAAATGTTCATTAATGTTTGAAACGGGTTCTATAAAAGAGTTCTTCTGTTGTTAGAAGCTTGACACTAACAATAGAAGAACCCTTTCTGGTGCAGTACAGAACCATTTTCAAAATAGTTCTATACAGAAACATCGACAGCACATTCTCCATCAGTCTGAAGAACCCTTTCATGATGCAAAGGACCCTTTAATCATGCAAAGCGTTCTTTAAAATGTTCATGGTACTATATAGAACCATATAGAAGGGTTCTATATAGCTCTGAAAAGGGTTCTTCTGTTGTTAGAAGCTTGACACTAACGACAGAAGGACCCCTTTTGGTGCAATATAGAACCATTTTCAAAATAGTTCTATATAGAACCATGGACAGCACATTTTTCATCAGTCTGAAGAACGCTTTCATGATGCAAATAACCCTTTAATCATGCAAAGCGTTCTTTAAATTCTTCATGGTTCTACATAAAACCATTTTCTTTAATAAAGGACCCTTTTTTTTACAGGACCATCTCTTTTAAGAGTGCAGACATCTTCAGAAATATTTATATTCTCAAACATATTCAATTACTGCCCCTGACAGGGTATTAATATGCATTATCTGTTCAGGACACAATAACAAAAACAGTCTGTTTAATGTCCCAAAATATCGTGATGGTATATTTTCATCCACATCGCCCACCCCAATCCAGTGTGACCTACCTGACTGGGACTGGCCATAGCTGGAGCCATATCCTCCTTGGCTGTATGGAGCAGGGCTGCTCTCTGAGCCTTGGCTGTAACCTCCATAGCCCTGCTGGCTGTAGCTCTGCCCAGCAGGCTGGCTGTAGCCTTGGCTGGACTGACTTCCATATCCACCATAACTGCACACAGCACATTCACAATGTTAGTTATAGACCTGCTTCAGCCACAGTGCTGCTGTTTTCCCATTGATTTATCAATAACACGACGTAGTAAATAGGTGATGTGTGTTTGATGCACTTACCCGCCATGGCTAGCAGTCTGGGAATAATCTGGAGGGAAGGGAAAATGCTCTGATCAACTGATCTACCAATCCTAATACAAATACTCGCCCAAAATCTCTTCGATACTAAAAAAATAAACCCGTTTTGAACGCCGTGTTATGAAAGTAGGTCAGTATCACACAGCCTGACAAAATGGCGGAGACCGACATCTTCTGGTGTGTCGTTTATTTTTAAAAAACTGAAACACTGAAAACATATTTATGACAAGACTCGCCTTCAGCTCGATTTTCTTTCACCAAATGAAGAAAAACACGCAAAAACAAGCCCTGTGGTCGACTGAATGTAGTATCTACGGCTAGCCGGCTTCCTATCCGCCAGCTTCTTGTTGGAATTTTCCCGTTCCACCTTAAATGCTCCAGCTATTGCGTTATCCCTAAAGCGCCACAACGGAGCCGCTGCATCATTTAAGGTGGAACGGGGAAATTCGAACAAGAAGCTGATGAATAAGAAGCCGAGTTCAGCTTCGGGAAACAAAATGCAGAAAATACAAAAAAAAACAGCTCTTACCACTCGACGCCATGATCACGTTTACACTTCTCTAAAGTGTAAAAAGCCCAAATGGACGTAATTAGCTGGATATCTGGGTAAAATGTTGTATATTTCAGCTCAACCGCTCTACTAACTGAACACCTTCTTCTCTCCAGCAGCCTGAGAGAAATGACAATAACCGACTCTGCCTGTGATGCTCACTGTCAGCCTGTGGGGGGCGCTGATCATCTGCTTTTTTTGTCTTTAGCCAAAACAACATTTGATTCTAATGAAAATTCTGATATCGAACAATCAATTTGTACTCTTGGAGACTTTTTAAATACAGGGGGTCCCAAAAAAATGACATCATTTGAGATGTGAATATCTGAGTAACTACATGTCCAGGCAAAAGAAATTCAATAGGCTTCATGTTGAACAATACAAGATTTATTTATCAAAATCTGAACAAGAAATTCAGAGGGATGTAGGTTTTATAACCGATTTCACAGCTTCACAAATGTAATATCTTCAGATACTGGTGGTCATCCAGATCCCTTCGCCCTGCACAGACAGCCTTCCTCTTTGAATTTTTTGTGCCATGTCCAAATCTGCATTGCAGTTGGTGCATTTTTATTGAATTTTCTCTAAAATGCACACTGCACACTCTTGTTTTGACTGTGTTCGAGCATATTCTAACACACAAAATGCCTTTTCATTTCTAGTGAATGCCATTCTTCAACCTGAAAAAAAAACATTAAAAATTAAACTTGGTTAGTTTTTATACATTTTGTTCAAATTTGAGGTCATTTGAGGGAGAATGGGCTGTTATTAGACTACGAAATGATGTATATTTTTTGGGACACCTTGTATATTAAAGCACCCATATCCTGCTTTTTGTTGTATTTTATGGTGTTCCTTGAGGTCCACAAGTTTGTGTGGGTTTATGAACCAAGAAACAGCCATAATTCATTCCTACGTGACCGTTTTCCAACCTCTCTTCATCCCTTAGATTAAACAAACTGTTTTTGTTAGTGTGCCTTTAAGACTGATACATGTAAATGAGCTCTGTTCTGATTGACTGAGCTGTTCAGGCTGGAACACTGTTTATAACCTCAGTTTGACTGGGTGAAGCTAAACTGCTGTGGGCTGAGTTCATTTTACAGGACCATTTCCAACCTTTACCTCTGAGAACTAAACAGGCTGTTTTTTTGTTACTGTGACTTTAAGACTGATATATGTAAATGAGCTCTGTTCTGATTGACTGCCTTATTCAAAAAGCTGCCCTGGCTGAAACACTACTTATAACTTCAATATGAGTGGGCGGAGCTAAAGTGCTATAGGCTAGGGTTATGGTTAGGGTAGGGTTAGAGGGATATACACCGATCAGGCATAACATTATGACCACCTCAGCTCCACTTACTACATAGGTGCACTTTGTAGTTCTACAGTTACAGACTGTAGTCCATCTGTTTCTCTGCATACTTTGTTAGCCCCCTTTTACCCTGTTCTTCAGTGGCCAGGACCCCCATGGAACCTCACAGAGCAGGTACTATTTGGGTGGTGGACCATTCTCAGCACTGCAGTAACACTGATGTGGTGGTGGTGTGTCAGTGTGTGTTGTGCTGGTGTGAGTGGATCAGACACAGCAGTGCTGCTGGAGTTTTTAAACACTGTGTCCACTCACTGTCCACTCTATTAGACACTCCTACCTTGTCAGTCTACCTTGTAGATGTAAAGTCAGAGACGATAGCTCATCAGTTTGTGTTGGTCATCCTCTAGTGCTTCATCAGTGGTCACAGGACGCTGCCCACAGGACGCTGTTGGCTGGATATTTTGGTTGGTGGACTATTCTCAGTCCAGCAGCGACACTGAGGCACTGCTGTGTCTGATCCAGCACTGCTGTGTCTGATCCACTCACACCAGCACAACACACACTAACACACCACCACCACGTCCGTGTTACTGCAGTGCTGAGAATGATCCACCACCCAAATAGTACCTGCTCTCTGAGGGTCCATGGGGGTCCTGACCACTGAAGAAGAGGGTAAAAGGGGGCTAACAAAGTATGCAGAGAAACAGATGGACTACAGTCTGTAATTGTAGAACTACAAAGTGCACCTATATAGTAAGTGGAGCTGATAAAATGGACAATGAGCGTAGAAACAAGGAGGTCTTCATAATGTTATGCCTGATTGGTGTATGTACATGCATTGGCTTTCGTGACATCATACAAACAAAGAACTGACTTATGGGACTGAGGCATGAAAGGTGCATTTTGTAACTATTGCAAGCTCTTTTAATTAAAAACAAGAATAGAATAGAATTAAAAAATGACTTTAAAAAGATTGAAGCTTGTGTTTGACAGAAGACTTGCTAATACACACTGAGTAAAATTCATTTAAGTGATTCGATGTTTTGCAGTTAAAATTTACACTTAGAAAAAGGTAAGACACTTGTTACCATATGTTAGTATATTACAAAATAACTTTATGTGCTCTAAAAAAAATTCCCCTTGCATTTTCCTCATTACATAACATGACAAATACCATATTACATGCTAGTTTGAGGTCTGAATGCTCCTTTAAGGGAAAACAAAATGTATGTTTTTTTTTTAATTATAAAAATGCAAGTAATTACATAAATGTTGGTAATGATAACTGACTCAATCAAACAAATACCTGTTTCCTGGTACAAAATTAAACAAAAAATAGAACTACACTAAGGCCCAATCCCATTTCTTCTTTTTACCCTTACCCCTTTCGAGTGTCACCCTAACCCCTTTGAACTGAGTTGCAACGGGTACTGGTTGAAATCTTGCCCTACGAGATGGCACCCTCAAAATTAACAGCTACTAGCGCTGCTCTGTAGGTGACCCGGCCTGTCTTCAGTGACAGCAGAGAAGGGAAAAGTTCAGCTCCTCACTGCTGGGCTTTAGTTACATTTAGGGTATTATATGCCTTCAAAGAGGGGGGCAATTATTTATTATCACTCACCCCCAATTCTTCAGTGATATAAAGCTGAAGTCAGATATTCTCCAGCTTCTTGTTCTAATTTTCCCATTCCACCTTAAATCATGCAGCAGTTACATTCTGGCGCTTCAGGCGTCAGAACTGCTGGACTATTTAAGGTGGAACGGGAAAGTTAGCTAGCTAGCTACCGAGAAATTAACATGCTATTAGCGATTTTTGATGCTTGTTATGAAGAAAACGACCATAATACACTGAAACGACACTAAACTAAGATAATACAATGGTTATCATATTTTTTGTAACGGAGAAAATTCTCTCATTTGTGGGTTTCTTTGGTCTCTTGTTCAGCCATCTTGCCGTTTTTTCTTTTTTTCTGATAACACTTCGTTTGGAGTGTCTCTCTGAAAAAACTCCGTTTGGAGGGTCATTTAGCCCAAACACTTCGCCCTCCCCCCTCTATCTCAACTAAAATCGGGACACCCTACCCCTAGTCGTGAACGCGCAAAACAGAGGGCTAAGGGCTAAGGGGTAGGGGTGAGGGGTGAAATGGGATTGGGCCTAAAACTAATCATTTGATTTAGTGTGCTTGGCAATAAATAAACCATCGCTCACATAACACACTAACTAATCTGAACATCTGTTAAATAACAACATTAATCAACATAGTATTAAAACAGTCACTGATTTGCTTGAGTTTTAACACAAACCATGACTCATTTTGGATTCTTTGCATTATTAGCATCAACGTACAGTCACCTTCATAACAACATAAAAATGTTCACAACATTCACAATTCCACACAATTCAGACAGAGATGATGACACATTTACATACTGTAGTCCAGTATCTGTATGGTGAGGAGTGATACGTCCATAGGCGTAGTTTCCCCTGGGCACCAAGTCTAGGTTTGTTATGAATCTATTACACTCCACTAATTGGTCAGTTTTCATGGCAGTTGATTTAATGATAATGCAGAGGTGTTCAATATGGTTTTGACATCCATATTTACTGAAAGATCACAAATTCTCTTTTCCACTTTTGGTGGACATGTTTTATAAGTTTAAGGTCAACCTGAAATCGAAATGGGCCTTTTTTGTCACCATACACCAGTGGGCGGGGCAAAATAATATTAGCAATAACATCATGTTTCATGTCCCCCTCCCACCAACCCCACCTATCATGGAGAGAAAACACCCAGCTAGCTCAGAGACTTTCCCACATACCGCGTTTCACTCACAAATACATCACAGTGTGAAAAGAATATGCACTATGATTCCTGATTCATGTTAAATTTAAAGGTATCAGTGTTGCTATGAGGATATTAGCCTTGGTATTTCTTGGTATCAGATCAAGGTCATCAGTGGACTACGACTGTTTCCATGATAACGCTAAACCATTTCTATGTTTATGATAATTGCAAGTTCTGAAAAGACATAACATTACAGGCAGAATGCTACTACAGTGAAGCATGAGGCCTCATCATTTCTGAGAAATCATGCTGTATTTAAACTCTGTGAGTATTGCAGTAATATTCTTGTTTCATTGTTAAGTTTTTATAAACAAAAGGATTAAAATGAACCAATCAGTTATTTTCCTCTGTGGTATCTAGGTAGATACAGCCAAGTGAGCTTTCCCCTTGGTTATGGCTTCAGGAGCTGATCTGAAGGCCTTACATGTTGGATTAATTAGGAACTGACAGTGGAATCAATGACTAAGGCCCAATCCCTGTTTCTCATTTTTACCCCTACCCCTTGTTTTCAGGTGTCACCTTGCCTCTTGGAGTTCCAACGGGGTACTGGTTGAAATCTTCCCCTATGAAATGGGGCCCTCAAATAAAGAAGAACATCACTTCATTAACAGCTACCAGCGCTGCTCTGTAGGCGACCCTGCCAGTCTGCAGTGACAGCAGAGGAGGGTAAAGTTCAGCTCCTCACTGCTGGGCTTTAGTTACATTTCGGGAATCATATGCCTTCAAAGAGGGGGGTAATTATTTATTATCACCCACCCCTAATTCTTCAGTGATATGAAGCAGAAGTCAGATATTCGCCAGCTTCTCATTCGAATTTTCCTCCTCCACCTTAAATGGAGCGGCAGTTACATTCTGGCGCTACAGGCATCAGTACCACTGGACTATTTAAGGTGGAACGGGAAAGTTAGCTAGCTAGCCACCGAGATATTAGTACACAATTAGCGATTTTTTAGGCTTGTTATGAAGAAAAGGACCATAATACATTAAAACGATAGTAAACTAAGATAATACAGTGGTTATCTAATTTTTAATGGAGAAATATTCACATTTGTGTGTTTCTTTGGTCGTTTGTGCTCCATCTGGCCGTTTTTCGTTTTTTAACACCCCATAACCTCATAACACCCCGTTTGGAGTGTGCCTCTGAAAAACCTCCATTGGGAGCCCTAACACTTCTACACTATTAGAAATCCAATAGGGGATCACAAAGGTGTTTTTTTTTTTTTGGTTGGTTGGTTTTGAGGTTTGATATATACGGGCTAAACTGAAACAGTCATGGTGAAGAAGAGACAAAGACATAGATAATGCTAGCTGCCATTATTGATTGATTGATTGACTGACTGATTGATTGACTGATATCATACACAACTTTAGCTCCTATTTATAAGAGCTTGCAGGTTTCTGTATGTGTTGGGGGTGACAAGGACCTCCATATTGTGTACTGACACCAAAACTATGCCCGTGTGTATGTCCACTTAGGTTCACTGTGTCCCCAAGAGCACTAATCCTAGACTGAGACTAAGCACCAGAAGGCCTTCAGCCCCGCAGACATGGGCCTGACCCATCAGCTGGGCGTCCGGCACCGTGGAGCGGATCAGGCCAGCGAAACTCGACACTTTGGCATAAACTCCGGGTCTGTTTTGTTGGGCGCATCCCAATCCAAAACTCACAATGCCGGCCTGAATCCATGTCCCATTACCTACGGGACAAACAAGGGGTCCTCCAGAGTCGCCCTGAAAGAAAATGAGTTTACACGTTATATAACTATATATAAGAAAAGAATGTGTATATAGAGTATGTACAAGAAAAACTGATGATTCAGTATCCCATATGAGGAATTATATATAACAATATACATGACTGTGCAGAAGTCAGAAACCACCTTTCATTTATCTAATTTCCAGTGAAATATTATATTCAAATATTATATTAAAAAAATATATTCAAGTGCTTTTTCTGAGTCAAGAGAAATGCAGAAAACCTTTAACAGAAAGTTAAGGCTTTTTTAACAGAAAAAGCCTCAACAACTTAATATAACAGAAATATTTGCAGTGTTTAGTTTGTATACAATACACCTTTACTATATAATTCCCATTCTTCTCAGGCGACTTGCTTTCAGTTGTTCTAAGAAATCTGCAGGGATATTTTCCCACACCTTCAAAGTTCAGTCTTAGAAGTTGGTTTGCAATTTCTGTTTATCACGATCTCAGTCATCCCAAACACACGTGTGTACGTGCTCTGAATTTCATGTTTTGTTTCTTCTAATAAATGTGTTTATATGTAGAGTGCCAAGCTCAAATCACTAAATTATCACAAAATACAACGTAGGCATGTACTAAGACAATGTTTATGTTAATGTTGTTAGGCATTAAAAGAACATAGTATTTACCCATATTCGTATCATTGTATCAAAAATTCATATGTTATGTAAAGAGGTATGACATGTATCTACTCTACTATTCAGAAGTTAAGAACTGTATTCAATGTTATTTTTTAAAATTCACTTTAATATACAATGATTGGCTTTAGACTCAAATATTACAAAAAGTATACCAAAAGTATTTTTGCGTTTTATTCAATATTTCAAAAATTCTGTGAGAAAGAAGTTTTAAATGATAAATAATACACGGTATAATATAATATAATTTACATTTTTGTCAAGTTATACAAACTGAGATTTAATCTCTATGGAATCCCGTTCTCGCCAGGTAGGGGGAAAAAGTCTTCCTGTGTTCTGTAATATGCCAGTATTTTGACTTCTTATCTTTTTTCTCAGAATATAGACTTAGCATGTCGAATTAGGAATTATTTTCATAAAACATTAACTTTGTATCTCAATGAACTATTTTCACAAAATATCAAAATAGTATCTCAAAATACTTATTTTTTAAAAACTATTTCTGAATTTTTCTCAAAATATTGACTTACAATGTCAAGTGAGTAACTAAGCAGTGATTTATTGATCCCAAAATAGTTATCAAAATACATTCTTCAATAACTCCTGTGTTGACATAGTATGTCAAAATTTTGAGTAAATAAATCATTATTTTGAGAAATAAAGTCATAATTTCATATAAGCAGTCATTATCATGATATACTAATTCAATATTTTGAGGAAATAAGTCATTATCTTCAGAAATAAAGTTAATACTTTGAGGAAATAAGTGATTATTTTGAGATTCTAAGTCAAAGTTTGACAGACTGCTGCCAGAAACAGAGAAGGAGAAAAACCTTTTTTTCTCCAGGAATGGGCCTCAGTAGATCTGACGCTGAAGTCTGAATTTAATGTTGAATTCTTGATGTTCTACCACTTTCCCACTCAGTATAGAGTCTTCTACAGCTCTGCCCATTGTTCTGGACACATCTGATATTTCTTTATTTCCTATTTACAGCTAAGCGTTCTACTGATTATGGGAAACCTGAGAAACCTCTACAGGACGAGCATATTAGAACCATTACGGCACCGGCTGCTCATAAAATGCACCATTGGAAGGAACTGGTCACGCTGGTGCGGAGATATTTAGATGTTCCTGAGAAAGTGTGAGCGTATCTGAGTGGACAAGCTTATACCTGGCACGAGTCTTTGCCTCCCTCTTTGTATCCGGCACAGATCATATCCGAGAGGATATCCACTCTGTCCGAGTTGGACGACTGGAGACTGTACATGTTGTTGCAGGACGCTTGGTCAATAATGGGTACTTCAACTTCTCGCAGTGTCCCGATACCAGAGAGGGGGACTGTGGAGGAGAGAAGAGCGTAGCAGTGCTTAGAGAACTAACACAGTACCAACACCTAGGCTTGGATTCTAGGATACAAATTAAAGTGATGGTGTTTTTATAGATAACGGTGCGTCATACATTGTCAAAAAACACATATTGAGGTCTATGAGACATTACTGAACATCTCAGTACACGTGTGATGATTCAGGGTGTTCAGTTTGCAGGATGTTAATTGGTGGAGTATAAGTTTCTGGGTCATTCTCCATTTGCAGTAGGAAACCATCAACAAAGGTTGCAGGGCTTAAAAAGATGCTTAAGATATTAGACACAGCTCCAAAAGTCAGTATGTACATTTACACAGTTGAGCTAAGATTAAATAACACTTTTCCCTTATGATTCTCTGATTTTTCTTTTTTATCCTGTTTCATAGTCGCTCTGCATTTTCCACATCTGAGGAACCATTTTTAATATAAAACAATATTTTTAATTTAGAAATTTGTATAAAACAGATTCATTTTTACTTTTTTTATCATTAACTTTATACTACATTTAGAAAATATGTATTTTATTAAAAAATCATTTATCACAGAGATTTGTCACCAGGACTCTTATTTTACATTTTAACAGTATTTTCAGCTCATCAGAGAGGAAGCATCTCCATCTCCACACTCACTCACTATATTTCATTCATTTATTAATAATTTTGTTTATCACGCAGCTCATAACTGCTATGTGTCACTGGGGTTACATGCTTTAATGGCTGGGTATTTAAAGTTTTGTTAAAATAATGCAGTATATCATTTTTATTACTGATTTTAAATACACAAGGTCACCCAACCATCAATGAGTCAGCCAATTTACAAAATCCTGAGCTTTGACCAGAGTGTCACTGGAGTCACCGTCACTGTTGTTACACCACATTCATACAACACCAGTGACTGTAAAATTTGTTGGGAATTAAGCTCTCCTTTCTGTATTTATGATAACAGGAGATGTTAATGGACATATTAAAATTATTTAGTTCTGGGATGAAAGAAATAGATTTTTAAACAAAACCTCTCATTTGTATAATGTGAGTACCTTGTGTACTTTGCAGTTTGCTGTTACACTGTGGACAGTGTAAACACCTGGACAGCACAGTGGCCTGCACCCCTCTGCTTACACTCTATTTATGTTCTCAACTTACCAGCCACGATCTCCACTCAGTCCTGCCTCCCGGCTAACCTCTTTGTCCTTGCTAACACGAGTCATCAGCTCAGGCAAAATGACCCCATTGTTTTTACCCACTTCAGTAAACAGCAGAGTTCCTGCTGATGGTCAGCCACTGCCCTCAGGCTCTTTAACTGCAGTGAATTCTGCCGCATTTGCTCAGTCAGCTGTGAAGTATTGACATGTCCAATAGTGAAGCTTTCTTCTGAAGAACAAGCCTCACATTAAATCACAGATAGCAAGTGTCTGCATATAGTAATGACTTTGATGTTTGTTTTGAAATGTAAAGTGTATTTAGTGCTGAAAAGGGGGCAACAAGATATGAGCATAACATAGAAACTTGTTTTCCTTCTGCTCTCTTCCCCCTTTATTTCCATTTAACTTTTTTATTCATTTTTATTTTATTAAACCATCAAAACAACAGATTATCTTTACATTATGTGACCAGATGGATCAACAGAAATGATCCCTTTCCTAGAAAATGGCCATTTCAGAGATAAGAGGTTTAGTTTTACAACGGCGGCAGCATATAAAGTTCTGAATACGAATATATTTATAAATATATTTATGTATGTATATAAGGGCGGCACGGTGGCGCAGTGGGTAGCGCTGTCGCCTCACAGCAAGAAGGGCCTGGGTTCGATTCCCAGCCGGTCGACCAGGGTCATTTCTGTGTGGAGTTTGCATGTTCTCCCCGTGTCTGCGTGGGTTTCCTCCGGGTACTCCGGTTTCCTCCCACAGTCCAAAAACATGCAGTCAGGCTGACTGGACACGCTAAATTGCCCCTAGGTGTGAATGTGTGTGTGATTGTATATGTATGTCTGTCTGCCCTGCGATGGACTGGCGACCTGTCCAGGGTGTATCCTGCCTTCCGCCCAATGACAGCTGGGATAGGCTCCAGCACCCCACCGCGACCCAGAAGGATAAGCGGTTTAGATGATGTATGTATGTATGTATGTATATACACCGATCAGACACAACATTATGACCAACTCCTTGTTTCTACGCTCATTGTCCATTTTATCAGCTCCACTTACACCTCAGTGTCACTGCTGGACTGAGAATAGTCCACCAACCAAAAATATCCAGCCAACAGCATCCTGTGGGCAGCGCCCTGTGACCACTGATGAAGGACTAGAGAATGACCAACACAAACTGTGCAGCAGATGAGCTGTCGTCTCTGACTTTACATCTACAAGGTGGACTGACAAGGTAGGAGTGTCTAATAGAGTGGACAGTGAGTGGACACAGTGTTTAAAAACTCCAGCAGTACTGCTGTGTCTGATCCACTCAGACCAGCACAACACACACTAACACACCACCACCACGTCAGTGTTACTGCAGTGCTGAGAATGATCCACCACCCAAATAGTACCTGCTCTGTGAGGGTCCATGGGGGTCCTGACCACTGAAGAACAGGGTAAAAGGGGGCTAACAAAGTATGCAGAGAAACAGATGGAGTACAGTCTGTAACTGTAGAACTACAAAGTGCACCTATATAGTAAGTGGAGCTGATAAAATGGACAGTGAGTGTAGAAACAAGGAGGTGGTCATAATGTTATGCCCGATCGGTGTAAATATATCTCTCTGTTTATGTTGTTGGGCGAAAACCTCGTATCTCCAAAATGGTAACTTTACAGGAGAAGGAAAAAACCTACTATACTTTCAATGTAAGTCAATGGAAGCAGAATTTTTTCCAAGTGACTTTGGGTCGTTTCTTTTGGTCTATTTACCATGAAATTTACACACAATGTAAAGGGCAACAGGCATTTTCAAAATATTAAAAAACTGAAAAACGGCAAAAATGGAGATATGTTTTATTTAAAAAACATTAAAAGTTAAGAACGTTTTTCCTTGTCCTGTAAAGTTATTCTAAATTATTTTGGACTATTTCTATTGGTCAATGAAATTCACACAATATAAACGCCCACTGCTGTTTTCAGGTCATGCACAAAAATGAAAATGCAAGGTTTTGTTCTGACAAAGCCTGATTGTGTGTTAAATTGTGCAGAAGTGTGTTCTCTGTAGAGGACGTGTTAACTTAGAACTTAAAAACCAACAACATGTAATATGACCAGGGCAGCCAAACTTTTGCATACGACTGTATAAGTACCAGTATTTCCGTGTATCAGATTAAAATGTGCACCTGGAACATAGTTTATCCCTTGTGCTCACCTCCCTCCTGGACGTCCCCCCAGCCAGTGACGTAGCACAGAGTTCCGCTGTAGAACTGCAGGTCAGAGTCCGGCAGACACACGGGCTGGATTCTGTCTGTCCAGGAGACCGGTGTGCTCAGCTGGACCAGAGCTACGTCTCTGCCCTCCTGTGGCATGGAGTAACCATCCGGCACTACGACTCTGCTCACCCTGCTGGACATCTCAAACTGGTTATCGCCGTTGAGCTGATAGCGACCCATGTAGAGATGATATGAGGAGACATCTGAAGGCCTGAGGAGAGAACAGACAGTGAGGTACTGGCAGGCCAGTCTCTGTTAGCTCAGTTAGCTTATTTAGCTCAAATCAAACTATTAAATACAAACTGAAAACGAACACAGGTCACATTTTCAGCACGTTATATATCCTATATATGACTATACTGGCCACTTTATTAGAAACCCTTCTCTTGTAGCTCCACCTTGCTGCTGTGCAGTTTGAACACCCAAAGTAAAATTAGTGTTTTGATGAAAATACCTTTATTTACGGAGCCTTGCTGGTGACATCCTGTATGAATCTAAATAATGTGTGGCCACGACTTAGTAAAGCGTGGGAACGAGATGATTAAGTTGTGGCCACAACACAAGCATGGGAATGAGATCATGCCTTATAAAGCTGTGGTCAAGGCTTCGCTGTCTCATTCCCACACCTTACTAAGTTGTGGCCACACATTAGGATCTCGTTCCTGCTCCTTGCTAAGTCGTGGCCAGACATTAGGATCTCGTTCCCACGCCTTACTAAGTCATGGCCACAACATAATTCTCTTGTTCCTATGTCTTACTAAGCCATGACCATGCATTAGGATCTCGCTCCCACTCCTTACCAAGTCATGGCCACGCATTAGGATCTCATTCCCACTCCTAGCTAAGTTGTGGCCACACATTAGGATCTCGTTTCCACGACTTACTAAGTTATGGCCACAACTTAATTATCTCGTTCCCACGCCATACTAAGTCATGACTATGCATTAGGATCTTGTTTCCACTCCTTACTAAGTCATGGCCATGCATTAGGGTCTCGTTCCCACGCCTTACTAAGTCATGGCCACAACCTAATTATCTCATTCCCACACCTTACTAAGTAATGGTCACGCATTAGGATCTCGTTCCCACACCTTACTAAGTCGTGGCCACAACCTAATTATCTCATTCCCACACCTTACTAAGTAATGGTCACGCAGTAGGATCTCGTTCCCACACCTTACTAAGTTGTGGCCACAACCTAATTATCTCATTCTCACACCTTACTAAGTAATGGTCACGCATTAGGATCTCGTTCCCACACCTTACTAAGTTGTGGCCACAACTTAATTATCGAAATTCCCATGCCTTACTAATTTAAGGCCACGGATTAGAATCTCGTTCCCATGCCTTACTAAGTCATGGTCACGCATTAAATTATCTTGTTCCCATGCCTTAATACTGTAAGGTATTAAACTCTCGTTTTAGGCTGGCGTGCCCCTTTAACAAGCCACTCTGCCCAGCAGAAGAACCGTCTGCTGTGATCATTATTAACAATAAACTGAATTAGGGAGAAACAGGTGCTGTCGCTGCCATATAAAGCAACAAGACGCTTGACGCCGTGCGTTACAGTGATTTTATGAGGCATGTTGAGTAAATTCACTGTTTATTGTGTCATCTGAGCAGCAGCTCCACAGCTTACTTAGGAAAACAGTGAGCGGCGGAAAGGACCCAGTCTCTGGAGATGAGAGATCCTCCACACACATGACCGCTCGGTCCCAGCTGAATGTCCACCTGCCATGGCCACGATCCATCTCGAGCCTCGCTGCCTCCTACAATGCGGTTCCCCAGAGGAGGCCTTCCGCAAACTAGAGCAAAGAGGTCAGCAGTGGACACATGGACACAGATATGAAAGAGGAAGAAACACATAAAGGAGGCAAGTAAAGGTGTCGTGTAGTTACCTTGGGCTTCACATGTCTGTATGAGGCCCACACCTGCGTGTTAGAGAGAGTGAGCGTGAGAACCAGAGGCATCCTGCAGCAGAGTTTGTTTTGGTTTACAGTGAAACCAGAAAGCATGAGGGCCTCATGGAAAAACCCAATTTTCTATAACGGACACTTCCTGTCCCAACATCTGAGCTGAGTTCCAAGCTGTTGTAAAACCAGCGCAACACTATTGTTGTCTAATTTATCTTCTTCTTAATATTATTATTTGTCCACTAACTCATCCCATATTTCAACACTGACAGAATTCCAAAATGTTATTCTGATCAGGAATTTGGTGAGCAAAAGCTACTGATAAGTGAAGGTTTATGCATTAAGTAGTGCTTTGTCATGATAAGTTAATTATTATTAATACAACAGTTAGTTCCGGCCACGCGAGCTGATTGGTTGAGAAGTGTTCTAGCTGCTGTTATTTCACCATAACATCACGGTTTTTTCACAAACACTGTATCACTCCGCTAAAACGGCGTTACTAAGCAACGACTTTGACAGCTGTAGGAGACGCTCAAGCCATTTGAACGTTTTTACTTCTTACTTTGAGCACAAACAGAAAATGGACACTTTTAAGATCACATTTGACCGACAGCCGATTCGGTCAGACTCTGAAGATGAGGCTACACTAAATTCCCAAACTGTCATCACCACTGAGCAGCTTTTCAGTCGGCAGCTGTAACAAAAGAACAGCTAAACAGCCTGGAATCAGCCAGAAATGAACCCAATACCATTCGCCAAACGTGTAGTCTGATCTTCAGAGTCTGACCAAATCGGACTGAGCCATAAAACTGACACAATAAAAAACAAAAAGCTGCTCAGTGGTGATGACAGTTTGGGAATTTAGTGTAAGGAGCTGGAGAACGAACTGCCGGCTGTGCAGCGAGTGGGTGAGCTCGCTACTCTGACGCAGCAACGAGCTGCTTGTTAAGGAAGTATAATCTATATATCTATATATCTATCTATATATATATATATATATATATATATATATATATAGAGAGAGAGAGAGAGAGAGAGAGAGAGAGAGAGAGAGAGAGAGGGGGGAAGGGAGAGATAAAAGTAATTTTTACACAACAGCGTAACAATAGGAGAACCCTTTCGGGTGCTCTATATAGAACCCTTTTCAAAATGGTTCTATATAGTCCTGATCTAAAGCACTTCACAGTCATTTCCACCTACAGTACAGGCCTAACAGTGAGATTTAATTTCTTTGGGATTTCACTGACTAGACCACGAAGATGACCACTGACATGAAAATAATCCTCTTCTAATACACATCACACAATGACGAAGCAGACTGCAGAGCCCCTCAGTAAACACTGTGCTGAATAGCTGATGAGGTAAAGCTGACTCACCTGTGGCAACCAATGCAAAGAACACCTGCATCCCAGAAGGCACCATCTCTGTGGGCAAAGCCATTAACCCAGATTTAAAATAGATATCTATAGAACAGCTGTGTCAATGACTATATCTGTAAAACTCTGCTGTCAGAACAAAACCTCGCATCTCCAAATAGGAGCTTCACAGGACGAAGAAAACGTTCTTAACTTTTAATGGAAGTAAATGGAGGCATATTTTTTTCCAGGTAATTTTGAACCATTTCTGCTGGTCTGTTCATCATGAAATTTTGAGACAAAACAAAGGGCAACCGCCTTTTTCAAATTATGGCTATAAATGAAAAACAATAAAAATAGAGATATGAGGTTTTGTCCTGAAAGCAATGAAATATAGTATAGAAATCATCCAGAAACATTGAGACATTAAATCTAACTTATATATAACCAGAGTTGGGCAGAACACTTATACTAAATGTATTCAGTGATGTATTCCAATACAATACATAAAAAGTAATGTATTTAAACTATGTTTAGAATACATCTCAATAAGGCAGATGGGAAAAACCCTGCTGTTGTAATTCTTATTTTATTCACGCTGTTCCTCTCTTTTACTGGTTGGCAGTTTTTTCGTGTAATTCTTCTGTCAATATGATTCATTAAAAATTCACTTATTCAAATTAAGTCACAGAATTCTCAACATTATTTTGGCTCTATGAAGCAAAAAATTTACCATTGTCCCAAAAACAGAGTCTCACAATTTTGACTATAAAGTGTGTAGTTGTGATTTTAGCTAAAAAGACAACTTGCCACAAAACATGAGTCCAGTACAGCAGCAATACTAAGCTCATCACTGGTGAACATGTTCACTACTGAGCAGACGGTTCAGTTCCATCATGCTCGGATTAGTAACTGCCTCATCAGTTTGGTTTATCAGTCCACTCAGGCTTTAGCAGGAACTTCAGTGTTTGTAAAGAAGCTCTATGTTGAGTTCTTCTTTGGAGTCTGTGTTTACACGCTGTGTGCTGATTTTTAAATGTGTATAAACAAGCACTGTTGGTGTTTTTTTAAAGACTATATAGGTATATAGCTATATAGGTATATATTTAAAGGTATATATTTTCTAAATGTAGAAGTAGGTATTCTAAAAGCATTCTTCCAAAAAGTAGCTGTATTCTGAATTCTGACTTTAGAAAAAACTAACCTAGACAATACAGATATTGAATTTATGTATTCTGAATGAATGTGCCAATATGACTGGGGGTATTAAAACCTTTGCATACTGTATATATACAAATTAACCACTGTTCAAAAATGGATGTAGCAGATAGCTTATCAAAAAATATGTAATATGTATGCAAATATATGTACATAAATTATTACAGTCGATTATTTTTCATTTAATCCCTTCCTGTTCCCAGAATTCCTGAAACACTGAATAAAACATCTAAAAACATATTTTAGTGTTGAAGTTATTACAGTATATAACACTACAAACACTGTAAGTGTGGCAGGTTGCTGTAAGCACTAGTGTATATGTCTCACTCTGAGCTGATGCAGTGAGCTGTGTGTGGTCAGTGAGGTCAGACAGGCAGGACAGAAGAAGAATCCTCACCAAGTTCCCAACTAACTTCACTCCCAGCACTTCCAGCTTTCTGACCACAAACACAGAACGAACACGCTCTTCTTACCTGGAGAAGGTCAGAAACAGAAAAGACCTAAACGCTGATCGTTCGTTCGCCTTTATCCTCCCAGTGTTGTGGAGAATCTTCACACAGTGTCCGCCGTGCTCGAGGTTTCTGGTCAGAAACGTCCGGCATTCTTCGCTCTCTTTGTGCTTTGTGCTGCTCGGAGATGCTGCAGGTCTGGGGGCTCCTGGAGGAACAGCGGTGGAAAGGGCGGGGTTTACCTGGCCACAGCAGCCAATGAAATGGTGCCACGTCACACACCGGCGCTCCCAATGGCCCCAGCGTTCTGCAGCCATGGCAGAGTTTTCACACAACAGCACAGTTTTAACAAGCGCTTTATAACAAACCTAATCATGATCACAGGTTCGGTTTATGTACATAACCTCTGTATGCACGGATCTGTGTAGTCAAACATCTGCATGAGTGAATTTGTGCCAGCAGCAGATCCACTGCTGTGTTAAAGCTTTTCAGTCCAGTCTGAATCCCGACGGTATTTTATTTCTTCTTCTTCTGAATATGTGAATGTTGAGCTGGTATGTTTCCCATCTTTTACTGTGGTGAATGGTTCTTCAGATTGATGGACAATGTGTTGTATATGGTTTTTGAAAATGGCTCCATATGGCACCAAAAAGCGTTCTTCTTTTGATTATGAACAATAGCAGAATATACATAGTAGCATGTTCAAAGAGGTTCTATATAGAACTGTCTCCAGCACATTCTCCATCAATCAGAAGAACCATTTCACCATGCAGAGAACCATTTAAGCATGTTCTATATAGAACTCTTTTTTTCTCAAATATGAAGTGTGCCATAACTTCTGAATTAAAAATGTGCAATATGACTGGGGGTGTTAAACCTTTGGCATATGACTATAAATCACAATTCAAAAATGAGGTCATATATTCATGCAGATAGCTTGGCAAAAAATAGATGTAATTATGTCTGTTTATATATGTACATACATAGATGTAAATATATATATATATATATATATATATACACACACACATATAAATATATACATATATACATATTTTACCTTTTTGAACCAGTTTTTCATTTGCTGGAAAGTTAGCATGTCGGAAACATGATGCGTTGTTATGACTGGGGTGGTGCAGTGGGGAGTGCTGTCGTCACACAGCAAGGAGGGCCTGGGTTTGATTCCATGGTGTGATCAGGGTCCTTTCTGGGTGGAGTTTGCATGTTTTCCCCATGTCTGTGTGGGTGCCCCCCTGCTGAAAGTCTGCTGGGATGGGCTCCAGGAGGATAAGCAGCTCACACAGATTGTGTGTGTTTATTTCTGTTCCTGTATATATGGTTATTTGCAATAACTAAATTTTTAAAAAAGCCAAAAAACAGTACAGTTAGGAAAAAAACAAAATATTTAAGTCATATCTCACTTTATCAGACAGTGAGCCCTCATACAGTGCTGCATCAGAAACCTCCCTTTCATTGCTTAAATTTTATAGTCAAAACAAGCAAGTTTTTAGTTTCCGACAAAAAAAAACATGGCTTTAAAGGGCCAGCAACCTACACTTTATCTTCTTCCCTGATAAAAAAACAAGCATAGACCAGCATGACTGGTCACCAGCAGAGTCAGCGTATTGCTGCTGTCAGATCTAAACCTTGTATCTCCATAATGGTAACATTACAGGGGAAGGAAAAAACATACTCTACTTTTAATGTAACTCAATGGAGCCAGACTTTTACAAGTAATTCTAGGTCCGTTCATCATGAAATTTACAACCAAAACCAGCTAAACCAGAGCCAGACCAACACTAGACCAACATAAACCAGCACAGCTTAGCCCAGCACACACCAGCAAGCACGTCATTCTGGTCTAAGCTAGTCTGGTTCTGGTATACTGGCCAACCAGCATGATCATACCAGGGTGACCAGCTAAACCAGAACCAGAACAGTACAAAACCAACATTAACCTGCATAGAGCAGCATGAAATGTTTGTCCTGTTTTTTCAGCAATGCATAACATTTATGGGACATTTACATATCAAAAACTGTCATAATTGAACTCTACATGATCGTTTTCCAACCTCACTTTATCCAATGGAATTAAACAGGCTGTGCCTTGAAACACTATAACTTCTGTAGGCTGGATGTGTGTAAATGTGTTTATTTTTGTGACACTACAAAAAAAAAACCAAATGAATTCAAAAAAGGCTGTTTTTGCAGCTTAGTTTTCATGTATGGACTGAGTAAACAGCATGTTATGAAATTTCAGCAGCATCTATAAACTACATCAAACTGTCAAACTGTAAAAAAGTGAGAATTATTTTTCTTCATGATGTTCCTTTAACAGAAAATGACACAGTAGCCTCGATAACTTCTTTTTCTCGGTATCTTCCTTTTGTATTCAGTGAGTCACTCGATGCCTTTATTACAGCTTCTTTTCTTTTCAGGAGACTCGAGAAATCTGCAGACACACCTCCAAAGGTCAGTCTTAGAAGTTGGTTCATCATTTTCTGAAGTAATCAAACACATTCAGTGATGCTGAGGTCTGGACTCTGGGGTGGTCAGTCCATTGTTCAGCTTCTTTGTTTGATGTGTCCGTCTCCTTTTCTCAGTGAAGCTTCTTAACAGCTACACATCCTTTCAGACCCACAGCGCTGAGTCGTCTTCTCACAGTGGAAGGATGGACAGAAACACCTGTGGATGTTTTCAGATCTGAAGCAGCTTGATTTTCTCCTCTCTCTCAGAGATGAAAGCTTTAAGTGCTGTTTATCTGATGGGGGCAGTTTTGGTGTCCACCAGGTCTTCCAGGTGGTTGTTAGGAGGCCCATTTTTATTGATCTCCAGTTTTGGATACTCCTGCTTTTTTACCTATGACTTTGTCTTTTTCTTATACAATCTTACATCTCCTGAAAAATAACTTGTTTGGCTGTTTTGACAGGAAATTATGTAAACAACTAGGAGTGGTCTCTGACCTTTCTACAGTAGAGTATGTATTACTGCTGTTGTGGGATTTTTATTCATTCAGATATACACATATTTTTACAAACCTCTTTATTAAAAGCAGTGAAATATGTACATATTGATGCATTTCTAAGAAATGTGTTCACAAATGCAAAGAGCTCATATATATCCAACTACTGCAGACACAAAAAGGATAGTTTCTAATACAGGTGTAATATCAGCTGTATTACCAACCCTGAGCAGTCAATCAAGACTTACTGCAGGAAAACAAACACAAAAGCTCATTTGTTCTTAGATTCAGTCATGACATAATTTGCCTAAGAGACCAAGGTATCACTTATAGCCATGTTCTTGTACAAGACAAACCTTTAAAGGGGTTGTACAGCTTTGAAACTTCTTTTCTTATATGTTTGCAAATGTTCCTTCCACTTTAGTCACCGTTGAAGCATCACCTTTCACCTCACACCTGCCAGCCGCTACCTGAGCAATAGGTAATTCCATATTGTCAAATGAATAATTCAGCACAGCGTTTGAGGCATTTTAGAGCTCTTACATTAACCGGCGCAGGTGAAGTCTAAAGGTAATCCAGGTATAGGGAGCGCAGAGAGTAACAGACTGACCAGACGTAAGGTATGAAAAGAAAAGTGAATATCACTATTCTCATTTATTTAAAAAAGAAAACACTGTACAGTCTTACATCTTTCCTCTTCAACACTTTAAACAGAACACGAGGTGCTGTTTACTAATCAGTCTCGGACGTTTCGCCCTTATCCAGTCTGAACATCTCCTCCATTCTGACGGCCCTCATTTCTTGGAGAACTTGGCTTGCTTGTGTTTAGGTGGAGCCCATTTGAGACACAATGTGTCCACTGTAGAGAGAAGAAAAGAAAACAGAGGGACACTGCATTCATTTATATACAGGATAAAGGCAAGAGATGCTTTCATTTTGTCTAGATCTGACCGGCAACATGCGGCTCTTTCACTGACCTTTTACTGACCTGTTTACCTAGATTTGTAGGTAAAAATAAAATAATCCTCCTTTGCAGTAAAATAAAGCTCTGCTGATCGTTCAACACAGTTTAACAATAAATGGTCTTAAACACTGGAGTTAATGTAGAACTGCTAATTCACCCTTTAACCCTGAAGGTTGGCGCTCTTAGTGACTGATGGTCACCATAGCAACGCAGACAATCTCGCCTAGCTAGTAGCTAACGAAAAGGCAGAAAAAGATTCAAGATGAACATTAATAATTTGGAGAAGAACGGACTTATTTGCATTTATAATCACTCCAGCTGGTTTCCTGATACGTTTAATCTGCAACGAGGAACTGTTGAACACTAAAAAGTCATAAGGCTGAAGTCAGTTTCTCATTCCCCAAGATTCTCTTTGGAATTTTCCTGTTCCACCTTAAATGGTGCGGCATTCTGGTGCCTTAGGCACCATTTAAGGTGGAACGGGAAAATTCGACCAAGGAGCTGGAGAATGAGAGGCGACTTCAGCCTCATAAAAAGTCGAACATTGAGAGACATTTTACAAGAAGGTGTTCTACTTTTGAGGAAAAGTTTCCGGGCAGAGATGCAAGAAAAGCAGTTATAGTTGAGCTGAAGCTTAAAGCAGAGCAGAGGGGGCCTGTGTTTTTCATTTATATTTTTTAGGCTACACTCAGACATTAGCACATACTGAGACTGTTTACAGCCAAGATGGTAAAACATTACTTATATAAATGGACATAAAATGTTGTGGCACCTAAGGCGGACTGATTTCTGTTGGAAGGACAAATGGCTCTTCTTAACATTTGGGTTGCCGACTCCTGGTCTGTGACATTTTAAAAGTTTGAAGCCACATTGAGGCATTTAAAAAGTGGATACTCAAGGCTGAGTAAATATTTCTGTGCAAATGCATTTATGTAGAGACTCAAAGAAGAGCTTTACAGGTCATCATAGCTTGTACTTGAACTACACTGAGCAGAGAAGCGTGTCCGGCAGCTGTCAAGTTAACACACTAAATTAAAAACGAATTTCTCCAAAATCCGTTCAGGCATTTTCCTACTTTGACCTACCCATAGTAGTGCAGACTGAAGCCCAGCTGCGGTGCGCTGTATGCTGCTATGATAGAACCCGCAACTTGTTTAAATAGAGCTTTTAAAGCAATACCTTCAGCACCTTCGGCAGACTACGCTGGACAAGCAGCTAACTAACAAAAGCAACAGCAAACAGGAAAAGCTCCAGTTCCCCTCAAGAGCCTCCACTGTGTGTATGTGTATTTATTTATATATATACACACACACATACATACACACACACACACACACACACACACAGAGTGTAGTGTTTGGATCTAACACTCTACCCCCAAGCTAAAACGCTAGCCCCAATCTAACATATACTGTATTGTAACATCCCTAATAAACAAAGATATATACAAAATACAGATGTAAGCAAAAGTTCAAACACCCCCAATTTACACATTTTACTGATTTTCTTAAGAGACAATTCAGTAACACATCCTCTATAAAGAACGAAATTTTTCTGCAAATTTTAGTGCACAATTTTTATTTTTTGGTGATTTTAACATGTTGAAAAAAACCCCCAAAAATATCACTTTTGCACAGGCAACTTATGTTTTATTTTTCGTTCAATACATTAAATTAAAAGCCAAAAAACAAACAAACAAACACAGTAACTGTGCATTTAAATGAGCAGAAAATGTGTTCTCTGAAGAGAATGTGTTCACTTACTTTTGCTTAGAAAATCAACAAAATGTCATTTGACAGGGGTGGCCAAACTTCTGCATATGATAGCATACACACAAACACTAGTTGGAACATGCAGCCACTGCAGTGCTCCCTGTGATGAAATATGGAAACTGTGTTCACTCTATAACGGAGATCATGCGATCCTCATGCTCAGGTTCATGTCAACCCAAAAATGCATGACTTTTTTAATGGAAACAAATCTTTTTAGGGTGAATTAGACAAATACGACTGTTCAGGATTTACTAGACAAAATCGTGTGATCAGCTGATTTCAGCTGTTACCTGTGATGGGTGGCTTTTTGTACTGTGCACTTTTCAGATGTTCCTCCACGAGTTTGGGGGTGACGCAGATCACATGCTGGCCCTTCCAGTACTTGACCATGTTCAGAGACTGCAGCGTGCTGATTATGTCGCTCTGCGTGATGCTCGTCATTTGACTGTGGACGTAACAAACAGCATTCAGTGACTAGTTTTAACAGGTGTACGTGATTATAGAGACGTTTTCAGCGCTCATAAGTAAGAAAACATTCATACAGCTGGAGTCTGTAAAGAGCCCCGCCCCTTCCACACTGTGAGGTACAATATAAGACAGCCAATCAGCTTTGTTGTATATACATATATCAGTATTAAAGGCACAGTAAAAAAAACAGCCTGTTTAATTCTAAGAGGAAAGGAGAGGCTGGAAAATTATCATGTAAAAAATAAATTTATGGCAATTTGTGACAAACTCACAACGCCATAAGCTCATAGAAAACAATAAAAAACAAGAAAAATGAAGGATATGGGCCCTTTATTATTATTTGTCTCCGCCCGCTGGTGCATGGTGATGTAATCAAAACTCAGATGTTTTAAAGGTGGGGCAAAAGTCAGAGGATTAGAAGATTACAGGAAAAAGAATTTGGTCTTTTAAACGATATGATGAAACATGATTAATATAACTAGGGCTATGCACTCAAGGTAAAAGGTTTGCTTTGACATCCAATGTTCACACATGCAGCCATGTAAACTCCATAAAAGTCACTGGGAGTGGAATGGGACATGTTGGTGCAGCCACAGGCCAAGTGTCAGCTATAAGATGACCAAAGTGGTCTCATAACACTGGACTACGACTATGGACGGCTGTGGCATTGGCAGGGGATCAAACTCGCCATCTCCTGATGACAGAGCCAGCACTGTACCACCTGGGAAGCCCTCTCTTTTAATACGCTTTATTAATCCTCTATTATTTCGTCAGAAATGTTGGAAGAACAGGTTTCTAAATACTATTTTACCTATAGTGCATTTACCGGTGTACAGGAATCAATAGCTACGAAAGTTTTCGTGTATATGGATGTAAATCTTTTACATAAGTTTTTTGGAGGGTGCATGCAATATCAGTATGTGCTCGAACACTGTCTACCTGAGATCTTTGATGGACAGTGTTCCTCTGAAGTCTCGCAGAATCTCCAGCAGTACCCACGACCAGTAGCTTCTATAGCTCAGCTTCCCCAAGTCTGACAGAGGCTTCTCTGGAGAGCCCACTGTATTCTCCAACTTTGACAACTCATAACCTGTAAGAGAAAAAACGCAAACAAGAAAATACATAAACAAATGCATTTAGTCAGTTATGAACTGTTATGAGTCAGTTATGAGTTATGAAAATAAACTGCACTCATATTATCCGCACAGTGAATCAGATGGCGTCATATCTGTGTTGCAGTTTAGACTGTAAAAGCAGAAGCTCTAACTTACTGAACGCAATGAGGAATTTTCCATATCCTCTGCGCTGGTACGGAGGAAGTGTGAGGATGCACGCAACATTATTCCCATCGGGAGACTCCTTCTCCTGTTCATGAAAAACACATGAGGGTCAATGACAAATAAGGCTATTAAAATGTATATGATGTGCGCTTTAATCCTCCAGAATCTATTCACTGGGTTGGTATTTGCTCTGTAGCTTTTATAATGGTATGAATACATTTTGAAACAAGATTATCGATTTTATCACCCAGAAAATGTCAGGTGGCAAAACCACATGTTGATAAAAACATATTTTTAAATGGATGAAAATTACAATCAACAGGGAAAAGTCTAATTTATTAACATTTGTTTTATTTTAAACAACGATTTCATATCCCATAAAATGACGAAAAGAACATTTTCCCTACTTTAATACATGAACACATTTTTCTGAGATCACACTACATGGTTTGGTAACCTTTAATACTTGCCTCATGAAGGTCACTTAGGGTCTTTACCATGCAAAACCCTGCCCATTCTTTCTTAAAAGCATGTCAGAATAAAAGTCCTTTATTGTCAGATGTGGTGCTTGACATTTGAGGAAATCAAGTTCACGGATAAAAGTTTTTCTATTAGTTGAAAACTTTTAAAGCTGCCATATTTTGCAACATGTTATGATACTTAAAGTTTAAAATAGAACCATGTCAATCTGACGAATTTTACATGACTGATTTATCCTTTTTAATGGTTCGTTTAAACTGTGTATTTGGTTGGATGGTCGCACCACCTGACATTTTTATGCTCTGGGAAACAAAAATGCTTAAAATAAATTTTATTTTGATGCAATGAAAATTCACATGAACGCAGCACTGTAGATTAATGTTAATTGTAGTGTATTTATTTAATTATTTAATTGGGAAAAAACAGACTTGGACACAAAAATCTGCACACCATGTAATTCACTACTGAAACACAAAAACACACATGCAAAAGGAAACAAACACACACAAAACAGAAATAATGTATTTGGAAAAATGTAATGAAAAAAAATTCAACAGAGATTCCTCACCTTGGAGAAGTAACCCACAATGTGTGCCCCCTGTCTGTTGACCTCTGTGAGGATATAAAAGATAAATGGTTCCACGTCAAAGTAAAGTGTTTTGTGATCCAGGAAGAGCTTGGCCAGTAGACACAAGTTCTGACAGTAGAGCTGCAGGCAGAGCACAGAGACATATCAGTCATCAGTTTGAATGGAAAACTATCATATTCACACTTCTGCTTTAAGTCAAGCTGAGTTGGAGAAGAATAATCACAGCTACTTCTCTTATGTAACCCCCCCCCCCTTAAAGCGCCTCTTACAGCCTATTAGTGTTTAACCTCTTTGAAGTGACCTATATGTGAGGTGTGGACTGTATGTTAATTTGAATGGTCACCTTATGATCTCGTCCATCCACCTCGTACACTGAAATATTGCCTCTGCGATAAATCTCCTTTCCGGGGGGCTGCCGCCATTGACACTGTGTCTGTAAAACAAGAGGAGAAGGAAAAAAAAAGTAATAAATAAAACAGATTATATGATGTACGAACGGTGAATGACAGATGATGTTACTGGCTTATCAGCAATAACTGATTTTTCCATCCCTTTTAAAAAAAAAAAAGAGTTTGATACAGCATGTAAACAGTAGGTGTGTTTACATGCACTCAGTAATCTGATCACAATTGGATTTCTGCAGTTATCTGATTATTCAAATGGTCATGTAAACAGCACACTCTGATTTCTTAGATCAAAGTAAGGTCTAGAAATCTGATTAAGAAATCTGATAAAGAGGCTGGATTTTAGCTCAGTAATCAGATTTCTCAGTGTGAAACTCTTATTCTGATATCTTTTGAATTTCTCAATCTGCACATGTGCGAAAACAGACTGCAGTACCGGAAATAAGCGAGCAGCGTTGCCGCGAGACGCAGCAAAACACTTTTGAAGCGACACTGAAACCAAATACATGCATGAAGAAATTAAGTATTTAAATATTCTTTATCTTCTAGATGATGTCTGTTCATATTTTCAGCTAAAGTGGTGCGATGTTTTTAAAAAAAGCCGCAGCATGAAGTTTGAGTTTTACATTACGTTTACGTCTCGTCTTCTTCTGTGAGTTTATTGGCTGGTTGAAAAGCAGAAATCTGATTACTGTCTGACTCATGTAGACCTAGAGTTTCCCATTATCTGATTACTCAAGTGCATGTAAACACGTTGATCGGATTACATGTAAACGCATGCACTGTTTCAAAACGTACTGTTCACTCTGTCCATACATGAAAACTAAGCTGCAAAACCGTCCACAAAACCGGTCAATTTTTTGTGACGTCACAAAACCAACACCTTTAAGAACATCCACCCATTAAGCCTACAGCAGTTTAGCCCCACCCATTCACAGTAACTATTTTTAGAATGAGGCAAAGTACAGGGCAACCAATCAGATGAGCAGTCATTTACATATGTTTTAAAGGCAAAGTAACAAAGAAATCCAGATTAAATCCAAGGAATAAAGAGTTGTTGATGTTGATGTTGGGAAATGGTCTTATAAAAACTGTTGTTGGTATATAAACAACGCAAACATCATAAGTGGGCCTCAGGGAAGAAAACAAAAACAAAGGAAATGGAGGATATGGGCCCTTAAAATGTATCTGATAGGGATGCACAGCACCCCCTGTGGTTTCTCAACTGTACTACAAAAGCATCGCTCTGTACTGACCAGGTGGTATCTGAAGGTCTTCTCGTATTTCATGTACTTCAGGCAGTATTCACAAATCCAAAGCTTGGGCTGTTTTCCATAGTCGTCAGGAAAGGGAGAGAAGTACCAGGCATCGATCTCGAAATTTCCAATCTGGATCTTGTCCACATATTTCACTTTGGTGATCTGGAGGCAGACGGTTCAAAGCCAGTGTGAAAAACTCAATGCATTTCCACGTCAAACACGGCACCAGAGAGCCATGTTAGCTAATTGTTTTCTCTTAATGTCAGGCAGAGGTAAGAAGGAGTGATATTATTGGTCAACATCACTCTTGCCACCCGCTGGTGATGTAATTAAAAAAAGAGAAGTCATTTAATGTAAGAACACAACATCTATAAATAAAATCTGTGATTTTACTCAATCTTACTTAATATGACCAGAGACAAAGTAACAATGCAAAAAAAGGGGCGATTTTGATTTCCAGTTGACTAAGAGGCAGAGTAAAAATAACATAATGCAAAATAATTTCGCAATAAGATGGAGACCTATGACAAAATTTAATGTGTACTTTGCAATTAAGGAATCTGTAGTTGTGTAATTATTAAAATGATGTTCAGTCTGGAGAAGTTAGTTCTTTAGTGCATATAAAACGAGCACTGCTTCTCTCTTACCGCTTCATGCTCTTTCTCCAGGGCTGCTGTAGTTGGGTCCATCTCTGCGTACGTCTGAAGAAGAAAACATTGGAACATTGGATGGAAATTTTGTTGAATGAAAAATACAGATTACATCTGTGTCATATCAGGGACGTCTGTGTCCACTTAAGGGCACCACATTTCACAGCATGTTCAATTAAACCTGTGTTGACAGTTGATGAAAACACATTTTGTGTTACATTTAACACACATTTAATACAATAAGACAGAAAACGTGCTAAATACAGAACATAAAAAGTCTGTTGTTAATTAAAAAGCCCATATGCTACATTTTTTTTGTTTAACTTTTTTCCCACAAAACCACTTAAGATGCTTGTGTTGTTTAAGATTATGATTAAGTTTAAGTGACCATTATTAGTCCCGCAACGGGGAAATTTCACCTCCGCATTTAACCCATCCGTGCAGTGAAAGGCCACATAAACACTAGTGAATGCACACACACACAAGGGGGCAGTGAGCACACTTGCCCGGAGCAGTGGGCAGCCCTATCCGCAGCGCCTGGGGAGCAGACGGGGGTTAGTTGCTTTGCTCAAGGGCACCTAAGTCACGTACTGTCGGCTCAGGGGATCGAACCGACGTCCTTCCGGTCAAAAGGCTGGTTCCCTAACCTCCAGCCCACAACTGCCCCCAATTTATGCACCAAAAAAGTCATTTCTACATGACCATTTTCCAATCTCTATCCCTTAGAATTAAACAGGCTGTTTGTTTTTGTTACTGTGCCTTTAAGCCTGAGCTCTGTTCTGTTTGGCCACCCTGTATTGTGCCTCATTCAAAAAGCAGTCCAGAGTAAAGCGGCCGAGTTACACTGCAGGCTGAATAGGCAGACGTAAATAAACATAGGGCATAGTTGGCTGTAATGTGTGCAGTAATTCCTGTTATGAATATGCTTGTATGTCCAGATTTGGGGCCTCCCATTGGCAGAGCCCTTGAAAACCATGTAAACGTGTTTTTTTTGGTCACAATATCACGGCTAAGCATTAAAGGCCTTCCATACTAAAAAAGAGAGAGAGAAGTTGTTGGTTTTCCATGATATGGGCCCTTTAAGACATCATTACTGAGAGTGTACTTCTAGAGAAAAGTCACTGAGAACCTCTGAGGATATTAACAACACTGAACAGAGTTTTACTTGTGGCTACCTTCTGAACATGGTTGATCTCGTCGTGTTTGCGTTTCTGGTTCCGGGTGATCTTCCTCTCCGGCTGGTCCCCGAGCTCTCCTCCCCCACCTTCTTCCACACTTTTCCTCACTGCATCCTTCACGGTTTTGGTCAACGCCAGACGTCCCTTTCCGACCCACTCATCCAGCCGTCTGTTAACTGTTCAGGGGTGGAAGAAAATAGAGAACCAGTCTTTTATCCTTGCAGCTTTCATGTCCTGGTCTAATGATATCATAAAGCGTGTTTAACATAATTAAATGACTGTTTCGGGCGTCCACACGCAAGGCTGGGGACACTTTTAGGCTAATTACTGTAGCTGTATGGTGGACAACTACAGCAGCAGAAAGTACTGAGCATATAAAACCACTTACACCCAACATAGTGCACATAGAACTCCTCTCTGCCTTCCTGCTCATTTAGCCTGGACTGGATAACCTCAGCAGAGTCTACAGGGAGAAAGAAAGATTAAGTGAGTAAAATTAGTAAAGAGAATTAAACTAACAAACACAGAAGCTAAAATCCAGTGCAACAGCTTAAAATGTTAACAGGGCACCATGCTAACAAGACTGGTCACTATCCACAAGTAGTAAAAAGCTTTAAGTCATTTTTATATGTTATTTCACTGTATTTTCAAAAAATACGACCACTCAAATCTAAAAGTGGAGAACAGAAAAGTCCATCATTATACTGTGATATTTAGATTTTAAAATGATTCATTGCTATCAACATGCAGGCGTCACTTTCTACGGATAAACAGATGAACTAAACTAATGTTCTCCAGTAAAAAGAACCTAAACGTCTCTCTCAGGACGATGGTTAAGAGGACATGGGTTACAGTGTATGCGCTCCATTTCAGACAAAAACAGATAAATTACATAAAACTTAACTGAAACTCTATGTTAAGGGGCATTCCGTTGATTTTTCAAACTTTCTGCATAATTCAATTGGTTTGATAAGAAATGGCTCATTGTAGAGAAACTTAGCAAGTTTCTTTACAGTGGTGGTGATAGGAACCAGACGTCATAACATCTACAACACAGAAATATCCATTTTGTTTACTATCTAAAATAATCAGTGTCTTCCCAATTTTATGGAATTTAGGATAAATAGTGATATGAAAAATTAAGTATTCTATATCACTGTACAACACCCTACATGTATCTCATCAGCACGTATGGATTTTTACATACCGTTTCACGTAATAACGTTTTCGTGTGGGAGCTTCAAGAGGCTTCAGACATCTGGTTCCTATTACCATCATGTTACACAATTCTGATTTGGTAGGGTCTCTAGGAAAGCAAGTTTCATGTCAAACCATTCTGAACAATTTTGTTCACATTTTGGCCATTTAATTAAGCAAATTTTTCAAAAAAAATTGGTAGAATTCCCCTTTAAAGCTGTCACTCAGAAGCAGCACTTTCACTATTAGATTCGTGGACAAATAAAACTCTATAGTTCCTCTTTCTCCTTAATATTTTGAATAAAAGTGTGAATCTGTGCTATATATTTCATATGCACAAAATACTGAATTTGAATTTCATAGTGATAGGAGTTGCTATGCAGTACTGTTACCTAATGTCAATGTAAGCTAAAGTAGAAAGTTATGGTAGATTAACTAACTACATTATAATGTTAACATTTGAAAACTGTTACACAGTAGTAAGTCAGTAGTATCCATATTTAGAGGGGAATTCCACCAATCTTTCAAAACACGTAATTCAAGTGCTGAGATGTAAACAAAGTCACTCAGAGTGGTTTGGTTTGAAATGGTTCACTGCAGAGAAACTTACCAACCAGATATCTTTACAGTGGTGGTGACAGGAACAATCACAATCTCTACAACACAAATATAGCCATTTTATTTACTATCCAAAACCACAAGTGCATTGTAGCCCAAAGGTTAACTCCAAAACTATCACAGGACAACGTCTTGGGCATCAGGCAGTGTAATGGGGCTTTTAGAGGCATTAAACTCTTCAGACGTCTGGTTCCTATCACCACCACTGTGGACGACTCTCACAGAAGCCACTCTGAATGGCTTTGTTTACATCCCAACTGTTTAAGAATACAGAATTTTTCAAAAGTCGGTGGAGCTCCCCTTTAAGTCCCATTCAAGGTAACGCCTCGCACTGTTTACTGGGTATTTTGAATGGAAGTGCAGAGAGTAGAAGCAATCCAGCTACTTTTGGGCCTTTATATGGATTTATTAACGCGCTGCTGTTCTCAGCAAGACAATAAAGACGATGTGAGGATAAAGCTGGTTTTCTGGCGCACCATTTAAGGTGGAACGGGAAAACTGGAACGAGAAGCTGACGCGATGTGTTTACAAACAGAAAAAGATGAAGCTAGATAAACACACTAAACCTGTGGTTACTTAACGGACACTGATTTGGTTTAACACCGGCATTTAATCGGTTATTTCTACTCACGCCAGGTTTTGTCAGCGCGCTGACACAAATACGTCTCGCCAATCTCCACCGACACCTCCTGCTCTCTGCCGCCGCCGAGGGTGGCTCCGTCGCCGGGCCGCGGCGCACTCGAGCCCCCGGATTCACTTGCGGCCTCGTGCTCCTCCTCCTCGCCGCCGCTGCCGCCGTTAGAGCAGAACGTGTTGCGCACTCCCGCCTCCGACTCGCGGCCACGCGCCGAGTCCCGGTCCTCCATCAGATCAAAAAACACTTCCAATATGTTATTATTATTATTATTGATGATGATGACGACAACAGTCACACTCTCGCGCCACTGGCCTGAAATAAAAACAGAGCACGTCGTACGCGCTCGCGCCAACGCACGCGCACTGCCACAGTGGCACTCTCTCGCCCCCTGCAGGCAAATCAGGTACAGCAGCCTGGGGCACTGATCAGATTAAAGGGCCCATATACTACGTGTTTCTTATCTTTCATTTTTTCGACCGAGGTCCACTTATGCCATTTGCATGTGTCTATGTACCAAAAAGAGTCACACTTCATTTCATTTTGTGTTACTTTTAATAAATATTTAACACAATGCAACACAAAATGTGTTAAAATACAGAGCACGAAAAGTTTGCTGTTAATTAAAGGGCCCATATGGAATATTTCTTACATCTCTTACATTCCCACTTTCCCACATAACCACACAGACCTGTATTCCAGCTTTTTGGCCTTGGTGTGAAGTGCACTTTAAATTGTCTTGTTTTTCGCAAACCTTCCACCAAAGCACAGTGACTCGCCCAGCGTCTAAAACATTTTCCAGTTTTTGATTGTCATTGTGCACTAGTGGGTGGGGCAAAAAATGTCACTGCGCACCAGTGGGTGGGGCAAAAAATGTCACTGCGCACCAGTGGGTGGGGATGGGGCAAAGTAATCCATCCATCCATCATCTAAACCGCTTATCCTTCTGGGTCGCGGTGGGCTCCAGCACCCCACCGGGCAAAGTAATATTAACCAATAATATGTTTCACCTCCACCCACAATGCCCACCTATCATGAAGAGAAAATGCTAAGTTAGCTCAGATACAGATACTGTGTTTTACCCACAAATATGTGACGCTACGGTAGAAAAATGAGTTATGATTTCCAAGTTATGTTGAGTTTAAGTTAAACAAATAAATAAAAAAGGTCAGAAAAAATACACCATCCCTTGCAGGCAAATCAGACAAAATAGAATAAATAGTGTGAAAGACACACACACACACACACACACACACACACACACACACACACACAGAAAATACAAAAAAAAAGATAATAATAATAAAAAATAAATATAAGTAAACCTATATGCACTCCTGCATGCAAACACAAAAATGAAAAGTTAATAAAACTTTGTGACTGAGCTTTCAGAAGCATTAAACTCTTCAGACATCTGGTTCCCATCACCTCCACAGAGAACAGTTCTGACTCTAGAACGGAGAATTTTGCATCAAAGCGCTCTGAGCGACGTAGTTTACATGTTAACCGGTAAATTATGCAGACGTTTTGAAAAGTCTGGGAAATTCCCCTTTCAGCCTTCTCGTTTTCTGCTCCACTGATAATCGTGATGTGTGTATGTTTTGCAGGGTGCTGAGCAGAAACAGACAGACACACTTCACTGCAGTGCTTGTGTAATATTTTATTATGACGACACCGTTATGATGGAGGTACACTTGGTAAACGAGGGAGGGAAGCTTCTGTTCTGCCTGCGCTCCTCCCTTCTCCCACTGTCAGAGAACCCCCTCCTTCTTAAACTCAGTTTCAGTTTTCGGATGCATCCCCTTTCCAGTTCCTCTGTGCGGCCCACCTCCGCGGTGATGATGGCTAAACCCTCCGCCTCGGGCTCTGTGAGCTCTCCCACCCCGGTGGTGGTGGTACGCACGGCCAGCACCATCCCACTGGTTTGAGCTTCTGGGGATTCTGTCGTGCCACTGGCCGTACTGGGGCGCTCGTGGACCGTGCCTTCTCCCTCTGTCTCGGGGGCCCGGGTCCTGTCGTCCATCCGTGACGATCGTCTGAGCAGCGTCTTCTGGAGCGTTCATGTTCGAGTGGCGTGTCTGCTGTTCTCCTGAAGTGTCTTGCTGGCTTGTGGCGAAGCATTCCTCACCTGTTTGCCTCCCAGACTGGCTTGTCTGGTCTTTGTCAGCTCTGGGCTCGAGCGGTTGCCCATGTTCTGTGCTTTCTGCATGCGGCTCATTGTTCTGAGGGAGTAAACTGTTCTTCGGTAAACTGTGGTTGCTCTCTGATGAGGATACGCTCATTTCGGTGAACTTTTCTACGACAGGTATAGGAGTTCCATGAGACGATTGTTCGCTCCTTCCACCTCCTTTTCCTCTTCCTCTCCGACCTCCTCTAAATTCCCCCTGATACCTCCTGCCATCACGAGCCCGGCGCTGTGATGGGGCCGAGACGTTCTGGGCTTGGGGGACAGGGGTCTGACCAGGGCAGTCAGGGGGAGCAGAAGGTAAAAGCTGGCTGGGTTCAGGATTTGGAGTGTCAGGGCAAGTGGGGTCAGAGTCGGCAGGGACCTTGGAGACAAACAGAAACTCCTGCTAATAACGAATCCTGGTCTGGTGAGACATATAAACTTGAAATAGTCTGGCAAAAAACTAATGTAGACCATTTGTACCAAACGTCAGTCAGCCAAGACGTGTCTGAAGTTTACCACAACTATGAGGCTAATGTAGCTAACAAGTAATGGAAACCTATACCCCACCACTTAGCATCGAGCTAACTGAGTGCATTAATCATCACACACTCGCCTCAGACCGTGCGGAGTTCTTCAGCATCTAACAGACTAGATTATGTAATTCTAATTCTAAACTGACTCGAGTCCAACAACATTTTATCCAAAACTGACCCGAAACGGCCGATCATCATCCAAAGAGATGATTGGGGGAGAGGAAAAAAAAAACAAAAAAAAACAGCTGTTACTTCTGATGGTAGTGTTGGTTAAATTACCATATAGTGACGATAACAGAGGTCATTAGATCACAGATAAATAAAATATTTAAAATAAAATAATATAAAGATAAAAAAGAAATAATCCTGTTTTTAAAAGTGATTCAATATTAATGATTTCGCATAACATTCCACGTTTTTAGCCCAGATAAGCTTTCCACATGCACTGTGGGGCACTGATATAGCAGGATTTTAGCCTCCACCTGTTTAGTCCTAAAACTCTACTTCTTTACATTACGTTACATGTAACATATTGAAAATATATTAAATTAAATGTCTTTTTGGCGTCACTAAACTGTACTTCACTGAATCACTTCCTTTAATTTCACCGTCTCACATCATAAACCTCAGTGCTAAATTCTGTGAAATTTAAACTCAAACTGAAATCGACACATATTTGAGAAATGACATCCGAACCTGGCGTGAGCGGTCAGTCATCATCCAGAGAGATGATGGGGGGAAAAAACAGCTGTTACTTCTGATGGCAATGTTGGTTCAATTACTGTGTAGCGACAGTAATAGCAGTCATTAGATCACAGATAAATAAAGAATAAAAAGAATCAACAATGCTGCTTTAAAATGATTCAGTACGCAGTGCTTTCACACAACATTCCAGATGTTTTTAGTCTAACCCTAACCCTAATCCACATGCACTGTGGGATGGTGATATAGCAGGATTTTAGCCTCCACCTGTTTAAGCCTGAAACTCTTAGGCCCAGTCCCATTTCACCCCTCGCCCCTACCACTTAGCCCTCTGTTTTGTGTGTTCACGTCTACGGGTAAGGTGTCCCGATTGTTGTTGAGATGGAGGGGTAGGGTGAAGTGTTAGAGTTACATGGCCCTCCAAACGGAGGCTTTTCAGAGACTCCAAACAGAGTGATAAGAGAAAAAAAGAAAAACCGGGAAGACGGCTGAACAAGAGACCAAAGAGACCCACAAATGTGAGAATTTTCTTCGTCACAAAAAATACGATAATCATTGTATTATCTTAGTTTAATGTTGTTTCAACGTATTATGGTTGTTTTCTCCACAACAAGCATAAAAAAAAAATAATTAAAAAAAAATCGCTAAAACATGCTAACGTCTCGGTAGCTAGCTAGCTAACTTTCCTTAACTATTTAAGGTGGAACGGGAAAATTCAAACAAGAAGCTGGTGAATATCTGACTTCAGCTTCGTATCACCAAAGAATTAGGGGTGGGTGATAATAAATAATTGCCCCCCTCTTTGAAGGCATATGATGTCCTAAATGTAACTAAAGCCCAGCAGTGAGGAGCTGAACTTTACCCTAACTTTACCAGACTGGCAGGGTCGCCTACAGAGCAGCGCTAGTAGCTGTTAATGAAGCAGTGTTATTTGAGGGTTCATTTTGTAGGGGTAAAAAGAAGAAATAGGATTTGGCCTTAATCTTTACACAGTGTTACATGTAACATATTGGAATTTACAGTGTCTTTTTAGCTTCACTAAACTCTACTCCACTGACTCCATACCTGTACATTCAATGTCTCAGAACCCAAACCTCAGTGCCAAATTCTGTGAAATGTGAACTCGACCCAAAACCGACAAAATCTGAGAAATGACACCTGAACCTGACGAACGCAGTCGCGTCCGGTTGGATTTGGGCAAATATTTCAAGCTCTAGTAAAAGCGTCCATTACATGTTAGCTCCATCAGCCTCGTAGCTCCAGTGTAAAAAAAAGCAACCAATCACCAAACATGTCTTTGCCGATCAGCTTCATTTGAGGTGTGAGGGGTAAAACTGTGCGAACTGGTTTTTTAATACTGAACAGTCACCTTAATTACATGTGCTCATTTCAGGACTTACGTCATTGATGTGAATTAGGAAGCGATTAGACTCCGCCTCTGGGTCAATGACTCCGCCTTTCTCTTTCTGACGTTCCAGAATCTTCTGGAGACTTTCCCACTTTCTTTTAAACTCCGCACCTACGGCCTCGTCCTCCTGCTGTGGGGAGAAAGAATGGCAGCGTTTCAAGTGAGCACAAATAAACGTGACTATGAGACCACAGCATGTGACCAACTGGCGTTCAGTCATCTGGACAGACTCTCCGGCATCTGAGCCAGCCAACACTGTGCAATTACACAGACTGTACAGGACAATGCCACACTGTTGCAGTCCACCGCTTGGCACCGCACACAAGAGTGACTTTGTCTGCTTGACATTTCCAGCAGCGAGACGACTCTCCAAACACACAGGCCAGCTGGTTCACTGAGGGGGTGAAGAGAATGGAGCAGGGAAGGTGTTTCATGTTAGCGGTGCTGAAAATTTAAGCAGCATTTAGATACACAGTGACGTCAACTGCATGAAGTAGCTGACTGTCACTTTCACACTAGATATGTTTATATTTAGACGCCTTGCTGGCAAGGAAGGGCTGACATTAGCAGACTAGTTAGCTGAGTATTGGTCATTACGCTACCTTACAATAAAATGATAATAGTGGACATTTTACATGGTCACTGACTGAAGTTCTCAGCAACAAACACAAATCACCAAATAATATTTCTTACACTGAGTAGATTATACATCCATACAAACGCCAGTGAGGTTTGAAGAACATCAGAAAGTGAAACAGCGTTTTTATTACCAATTGTGGAGTTGCTAGGCTTCCTTCATGTTCCAATCACACTGTGTTTTGACAACTGTCACCATGAAGACATGCAGCACCGTAACTTTCCACTAGCTGAACTTGAGGTCTGTTCAACTGCCATTTCACTTTATGCAATTAAGAACACAGTAAAACAACTATAAGCAGCCTGCCTATAAAAACAGTCCCCCAGGTCAGGGTCAGCATGCGGCTCCTTTACTGCCCTGTTGTGGCTCCACAGCTGAATTAGATTTGTAGGTAAAAATAAAATAATCCTCCTTTACAGTAAAATAAAGCTCTGCTGGTCGTTCAACACAGTTTAACAATAAATGGTCTTAAACGCTGGAGTTAATGTAGAACTGCTAATTCACCCTTTAACCCTGAAGGCTGGTGCGCAGACTGCTGGTCACCATAGCAATGCAGACAGCAATCTCGCCTAACTAGTAGCTAACGAAAAGACAAAGAGAAATATGTAAGACAAACGTTGATAATTTAGAGACGAATGGACTTTTTTGCATTTATTAGCACTCAGATGTTTAATCTGCAACGAGAAACTGTGAAACACTAAAAAGCCACAAAAGCCACAAAAAAGCTCTGGCAGGAAACTTTTCCACAAAAGTAGTTCAAATTCTTGGAAAATGTCTCTCAACATTCGACTTCTTACGTTCCACCTTAAATGGTGCAGCAGTTAAATTCTGGATTTAAGGTGGAATGGTTTAATTTGAACAAGAAGCTGGCGAATGAGAAGCAACTTCAGCTTCGTAATAAGTCAAACGTTGAGAGACATTTTACATGAAACGGAACTAATTTTGTGTAAAAGTTTCCTGTCAGAGATGCGAAAAAAGCAGCTACAGCTGAGCTAAAGCTTAAAGCAGAGCAAAGTAAGTCTGTGTTTTTGTTTACATTTTTTTTAGCACATACTGAGACAGCTGAGATGGCAAAACGTTACTTCAATAAAATGGACATATAACGTTGTGGCTCCCAAGGTGGTTTGATTTTTGTTGAAAAGACAAAATGTCTCTTCTCAACATTTGAGCTGCCGACACCTGATCTAGGTTTTGGAGATAGGAGCCGGAATGTTGTTCCTTCTTGACTTTTAGCCCCGGAACGGGATTGCAGACCATTTCCACTCCTGCATAACAGACACAGCATCCACTGACGCACACCTTGCTGTCACTACTCTCTCTTGCTGTATGAACTTAATGCAAATAAGCTAAGCATCAACCAATCGGACTGCTGATGTGAGATGGGAACCCACTAGGAGTCACAACCATAGTCAAGCTACAAGTGTGCATCTAGTGAACGATTATTACAGTAGTTGGAAAAACACTGATGGGACTAAGAGTCCTTTTTTTTTGAAGAACAGAATTTTTTAAATATTAGGCCACGTTGGGCCACAGAAATAGCCCACAACTCCTGCTTGTGTTAGTGATGCCCCCAAAGCGGCTAACAGTCGGCAGTGGAGTCTGCGGACAGTGACATGTCTTTACCTGAGGGAGGTCTGGCGCAGGTGATGAAAGCAGGGCGCTCACATCATATGACAGCGGCTCTCGGCACACGGGGCAAACAACAGACAGCTCCTATACAAGTGAGAGAAAGACCCCGTTTAAAGCCATATTTTCTAATATATTTTGTTAGGTTTATTGTAATTAGGAGTCTAAAAAGTCTGAAAATCTTAATACTTACATATTTTAAGTAATATGTATTTTTTTTGCATAAGTAAACAAAACAAGGTCATTCAGGGCAATTCAATGTAATGTGTGGTTAATTGTAGAGAAACGTCGTGACTCATTTTCTTCACAGTGATGGTGATAGACAGATCCTATCTTTTCTATTTCTATTTTATAAATAACATCTGGTTCCTAACAAACGTGACTCAGTAAATTTTGTATAACGAAGCATCTCATATCAAACCACTCTGAATAATTTTAATAGTTTAATCATGCAGGACTTTTGACAAAATGTGGAATTCGTTTTGAACTAAACCTAAAGACAGAAATATTAACAGAAACGATCATGGATCCTCCGCCTTTAGTCCTCATTCAAATTTACTTTGGCTTATTTTCATTAAAGTTTCAGTTCCTGTCTTTTCAGTTTCAGTTCCTGAACCAGAGACGCCACAACAACCAACATGTTTACAAATCCGCAGGACGTCACACTAAACCCGGTCCTAAATGGGAACCGCTTCTGAAAGAATAAAAACGGGCACAGTTCTGCTATTGCCACATGAAAAACCAAAGAAGTGATGGAAACACTGCAAACACTACTTTCTCACTCTGTGGTTGTCTTAGTTGTTGCACACACAGAACAACCTAACGAACATATCAGTTTAATTTTAGTTATCTTAAATGCAGCGAGACACTGGCTTCTGCTGTAATTAAAGCAATATTGATTCTGTCCTTTATAAATCATTTTTTAGTCAGAGTGTTTTTCGTTGTGGTTTTTTTATGATAAAAAATGACCGCTAAGAGTAGTATTTAAATGCACATTTTAACAAATAAAATAGGCAAAATTTGCATATAAGTCTGTATGCTTCTTAAGGTGGATAGTTTTTTTGCTGATAAGAAGAAATATCAATAATATCAATTATACAATATAATTATAAAAAATAAGACAATGATAGAATAGAATAACACAACTGAATAACAGAATAAAAGTTATGAGACTGATCAGGTGGTTCTGGTTTTATGGGAAAAAAAAAGAAATTCTCAAAGAACTTTCAAAATAACAGCACTTACAGTTGACAGGGGCAGATCTAGCAAGGCAGAAATGTAACATACTGACTGACAAAGGTGGCCTAATATAACAGTGTGATGTTTAAAGTCACTGAGCTCTTCAGTACGACTCATTCTACTGCCAGTGTTTGTCTACGGAGACTGCAAGCCTATGTGCACAATTTGATCCAGTTAGTAATGAGTGTGGCTGAAACAGCTGAACTCAGTAATTAGGCTTTTGGCCATGCAGTGCATTTCCTGACATGTTATATTTGCCAGTGTGTTCTGCCTTCAAGGTTTTATGATGTTACTAAATCAGAGACGTCATGAGAGATTAAAGAGTTATTTGGGGACTCACTGCATGTTTCTCAGAAGCGTTTTTACAAACGTGACCTGGAGAGTTTTACTCCCTTGTACAGAGCCGATGGAAGCCTAATTCACATGCTTGAAATGAACCCAACAGCTGGATGGAAACCTGACCACCCTTACGAGTCCTACCTCCTCCTCTGCTCTGTCTCTGCTCTTGTCTTCCTCCAGCTCTCTCTCCCGCTCTCTCAGCTCCACCTCAGAGTGGGTGACGTAGCGGCCCAGGCAGTGAGAGTGAAAGTAGTGGTAGCAGCTCGTCTTGGTGAACGTCTCTCCCTCCTGCTCCAGTATAAGTTGGCAGAAAGAGAAATTAGACACAAATTAAATGTCAAATTTATTCAGAGTTTAATTTTGTTTCATCACTTTCTATACCTCATATATGAGAAAGAGTAACTTTCTAGAAAAAAGAAAAAACACACTTTAATATGTCGCTGCTGTCGAAACAAAACATCGTATCTCCATTTTTGACGTTTTCAGTTTTGGACACAATTAGAAAGTACCCACTGTCCTGTACATTGTAGGGTAAATTTCATGATGAATGGACCAACAGAAATGACCCAAAATGACTTGGAAAACACTCTGGTTCCACTGACTTACATTAAAGGTAGAGTATGTTTTTTCCTTCTCCTGTAAAGTTACTATTTTGGAGATGTTTTGTTCTGAGAACAGCAATACGTTTATATTAATTTTGGACTATTTCTATTGCTTCACTCATCATGAAAATGTTCAGAAAATGTGAAGTGCAGCTGTTTTTAAATGGTGTAATAAGTCATATGAAAAGGTTTGTACATCCCACGAAAAGTTTAGCCTTTTTTTATAACATTTTTGGATATGAAGATATCTGGTTTTGACAAAATGTTAATTTTAAGTCTCACTAGTTAAATGATATCGTCTTTATCTATCAACTTAACGTTAGACTTAAAATTTGCATTTTTGTCATACAGTTGAAATACACAGAAATGCAATTTCCTTATGTGGAAAAAGTAAGTTCACCCCTACATATCACTGCTTTTAGCATGTCAGACTGAAATCAGATGTACTCGATCAGGTGCTAATGATTAGAACACTGCTGGAGAACATCTTGGAGGAAACTGTCTTATTTAAACATCAGATATCTGGTCTGATTCACTCTTTGTTATTGGAGTGTATGTTATCTTCACACCTAGATCAAAAGAGCTTGCTGAGGCCTTTAGAGAGAAAATTGTAGATGCTAATAAATCTGGGAAAGGAATTCAGAAGATTTCCAAAATACCGGAAAACAACTGTTCCACTGTCCAGGAGACCATCTACAAGTGGAGAAGATTTAAAACAGGCCAGGATAGCCCAGTACATTTAACCTCAGAACAGAATAGGGCGAGTGAGATGCCAAAAGAAGTCTCTGAGAACTTTCATCAACGGATCTACAGGTGATGAGCAGCTCTTACCACTGCTGATGTCAGAGTGCATGCATCATTTAGAAAGAGAAGAAAAAGATGATCAGGGCAAGACTACAGTTCGCTAATGAGTATCTACAGAATGACCGGGACTTCTGGAACATGTGCTCTGGACAAGTACCAGCTGTATGGCTGCGGCACCAGAAACCATGTTTGGTGAAAACCAGAGACAGCATTAGACCAGAAGGACCTCATACCCACTGTATAGCAAGGTGGTGGAAATGTTATGGTTACTTAAACTATGCATCGGCTATGAACTCTCTTTCACACCACAGAGTGCTTGAGGAGAACGTGAGGCCATCGGTCAAAAAGTTGATGCTGAAGAAGTGGACCTTTCAACAGGATAATGATCCCAAACACACAAGTTAATCCACCAAGGAATGACGCAAAAGCAAGAAATGGATGGTTATGGAATGGCCCAGTCAAAGCCAACTGAAACCAACTGAGATGCTGTGTGGGGGGTTTGAAACAGGCTGTGCATGCAGGAACCCCCTCAAACACAGCTGAAACAATTCTATATAGAGGACTAGGTCCGAATTTCTATGGATGTAAAAAGCTGGACAATAAGCAAGCGAGACAGGAACTTTCGGTGTTGGTGAGGACTTTTGAGAGAACTCTGGACAGCAAAGAAAACAAACAAATGGATCCTTGAACAAATGAAGCCTCATCTCTCACTCGAAGCCCAGATAACCAAACCGAATGCGTCTTATTTTGGACACATTCTGAGAAGAACTGATTTATTAGAAAAGACTGTTGTGCGTGGAAGAGTTAAAGGTAAAAAGGGAAGAGGACGACCAGCAACAGGATGGATGGATACAATCAGAGGAGTTATGAACCTGCCATTCAAGTGTCTGAAGACCCAAACAGAAGACAGAACATTCTATTCTAGAATATTCTGGAGAAACACGGTCGCCAGGAGTGTTTCTCCAGAATATTCTGTCTTAGTAATAACAGACATAAGAAACATATACAATTATTGTAAACACCTATGTAAAGTTGTTTCTGCCAAAGAGGGCGAAGCCTACGGAGGTATCGGTTCACACGGTTCACACATTTGTTGTCTTGAGATCTTGTGATATTTGTGTCATAATCACAGCAAAACAAATGTTATTTTTAATATCTCAAGTTATTTATATCATTATCAAGACATGGCAAACATTGTGTCATCTAGATAACATTCGTTAGGTAATAATGCCATAAATATCTCCATATCTTGAGGAAGCAACGTGTGTTATATCAAGATCAACAAATAAATTAAGATAACAAGAAATAAATTAAAATTACTTAACAGAATTAAACTAAATTTGCAGCTCCATGACCCTTTAGAGCGTCTTTCAATACAGGTTACTGAAGTCAGGGGTGTACTTACTTTTTCAACAGAAAATAAATGACTGCAAAAGTCAAATTTGGACTTTTTTCTTCTTTTGAATAATTTTTATCTATACATACTGTTTAACCGAAGATTAAATACTGATTTGTCCACGTCAAAAGAAATATAATGCCAACCACATTTCACATTTAACATATGACTACAGATATTTTATATATGACAGCAACAATATGGTGGCCAGAGGAGTCTCCTAATTGTATATAAGTAGACTTTATGGCCAATAAAAAAAAACAATATTACAGTAAGATGACAAAGCATTACCTTAAAACCATACAGGCAGATGACACAGTTCCCATGGGGAATATTGCTCTCTGTAAGGATCTCTTTGGCTTTCTGTGGTAAAGACAAAAAAGGGGAAAAAGTGCTCGATAATGAGGCTGCGATGGGCAGAAAACTGGCTCAGACAGAGTGCGAGACGGTACAAACCTCAATCAGCTGATACAGCACTGGCATCCCCAAGCAAGACTCAGCCTCCATCTGCAAACTCTGCTGTAAACTGTGGTGTAGAAGAATCAGAAGAGTGTCTATTTCTGCTGTTTAATCTGCTCCATCAATAACATGATTTCTCAGTGCTCAAGTCTCAAATGAGTCACGTTTTATTGTCACTCTGATTAAACAAATCAATAATAAACGCTTACTGATCTAAACTGTGCTCTTCATGAGCTTTCTTGCTCAGAGAAACAACAATAAAGGCAGCATGGAGCTTCTTTTATGCAGTTACAGGAAACAAATTAACACAAAAAGCTCCAATTCCACATGCTGATCCATTTTACTATAAACGTGGACATGCATGCGCTGTAACTCCTCTGACAACAGATAGAAAAGTTAAAAGGTGCCAACGCCAAAGCCTCTGGACGGATAGCCGGCGAGCTGCTCAGTTTTACACGGTTAACATTGCGGCGTATAAATGCTGTAAGCTCATAATACCATTTAAAATGGACTAGCACCTGAGCAACTTGTCATCAGAGAGGCCTCGCGGATTGTGAATGGAGATGCAGGGAGGAGAAGAAGGATACTAAAAGCAAAAAAGAAGTATGTTACGAGATGTACGTGTAGCCTTCACAAAAAAATGAATCTCCCACAATATTTCTGAACTTCTGAAATTTGCTGCCTTATCATGTTGACAGTTTAGCACTTAGTCATATTAAGTCCATCTGGAGCTCATAAGTACAAATTATACAAGTTATGTTAAAAACATCTGAGAGCACAGGATTTCTGAGACTTTTGCACCGTATGGAAATACAGTGTGATTCAAAAAGATTCATCGGATTTCAAAGCGCCATATTTTTTCAAACCGTGATGCGCCTAGGAACCAATCATAATCCAACTGAAAGAGGGGGTCACAGAGTTTCTGACTGTCAGTGGAAGATGGCTCCCTTCAGTCTGTGAGGAGATGGAGACCCCTGAGCAGAAACCGTTCTGCGTTCTCCACTTCAATAAGAGTGAATCCGTCATAACTGAGCAGCGTGATTGTCATCGGCAGTGAAGCTCCAACAGCTCAGAGCGTTCGTCGTTGGTTCCACAACACTGGATGATCTCCGAAATCGCACTGAAAGCCGTGAGTGCAGCGACACCCGACATGCTCAATGGAGTATGGGATGAATTTGACTATGGTGTTGATGTTGTCTGTACAGCTGGAGGAGGTTCATATTGAGCTCTTGTAAAATTACATAATAAACTTTATGCTCATTTGAACCATTTACAGTTTACTGCATTGTTCTGTAACGATTTACAAGTGAAATAAATCATTTTGAAACCAGATGAATCTTTTTGAATCACACTGTATAATCAATCAAGGAGCTGAAGATGTCCAGCACATGCCTCTGAGTCCAGGTCCAATGTCAGAGTGAGACGGACAAACTGGGACAGGCAGTCCTCTCCGGTGGACGGATGAAGGACCACGCTGACCTGCCAACCTCTAAAAGAGAAAGACTTGCATGTTTATGTCTCAGCTGTTATCAGTACTTCAGAAAAAAAAATAAGTTCACATTCGGTTTCATGTAATTCATGTAGGCTGTAAAGTTTACCCATCATCTTTCTGTGTGACTTTCAGTTCATCCAGGTAGATGGACTGCAGCACTTCTATTTCACACAGCGTGCTATAAAAAACAAACAGCTAGGTTACTTATTACACAGACTAACATTGCTACATACAACCATTTCGTTTCTACACTCATTGTCCATTTTATCAGCTCCACTTACTGTATAGGTGCACTTTGTAGTTCTACAGTTACAGACTGTAGTCCATCTGTTTCTCTGCATACTTTGTTACCCTGTTCTTCAGTGGTCAGGACTCCCATGGACCCCCACAGAGCAGGTACTATTTGGGTGGTGGATCATTCTCAGCACTGCAGTAACACTGACGTGGTGGTGGTGTGTTAGTGTGTGTTGCGCTGGTCTGAGTGGATCAGACACAGCAGTGCTGCTGGACTGAGAATAGTCCACCAACTAAAAATATCCAGCCAACAGCGTCCTGTGGGCAGCATCCTGTGACCACTGATGAAGGACTAGAGGATGACCAACACAAACTGTGCAGCAGCAGATGAGCTATCGCCTCTGACTTTACATCTACAAGGTGGACTGACAAGATCCACTCGTACCAGCACAACACACACTAACACCACCGCCACGTCAGTGTCACTGCAGTCCTGAGAATGATCCAAAACCCAAATAATACCTGCTCTGTGAGGGTCCATGGGGGTCCTGACCACTGAAGAACAGGGTAAAACGGGGCTAACAAAGTATGCAGAGAAACAGATGGACTACAGTCTGTAACTGTAGAACTACAAAGTGCACCTATACAGTAAGTGGAGCTGATAAAATGGACAATGAGCGTAGAAACAAGGAGGCGGTTTAACGAGGCTGAAGTCAGTCTCGTATTTGATTTATCCGTTCCACCTTAAACAGTGCAGTACTGAGATTCAGGCGCCCCAAGCACCAGAATGTTACTGCTGCACCATTTAAGGTGGAACGTGAAATTGGAACGCCAATCCAATTTCAGCTGCGTCTAATATTATCTAAGATTGAGCTGACTTAACCCAGAGTGATCCACTATACTCCAGTAGCCACAGTAGGTGAGGCCTCTGGCCGTGAATCAGCGGTTTGACTGGAATAAAGAGTTTATTTTGGTGAATTCTCTAAGTGAGCTCCATCTCAGCGAGCTGTCACTGCAGCGCCGACCCTCCGCTAACGGTCCGCTCACGGCGCCGCTCAGCTCACTGTAGCCACTGATATCATACTGTAGTGCGAGCGAAAGGTTTGAAGATCAGCTCTAAGAGAAAAATGTGCGCTGAGAATTAAATAAATCTCTAAATCAGTTCCACTGGCAGCGTTTCCAGCTCAGCTACTCACTCGCTCTCCGCCGCCATGGCCCCGCTGTCCGTCCGCCTCAGAGGGATCCGGAAACCGCAGCCCAAACAGAACAGTTCCGCAGAGAAAGTACAACAGCTGACCCTGCATGGAGTAATATTACTGCTACTGCTGATACTACCGCTAATATTACTGCTACTGCTGATACTACCGCTAATATTACTGCTACTGCTGATACTACTGCTAATACTACCACTAATATTACTGCTACTGCTAATACTACCACTAATATTACTACTACTGCTAATACTACCACTAATATTACTGCTACTGCTAATACTACCACTAATATTACTTCTACTGCTAATACTGCCACTAATATTACTGCTACTGCCAATACTACCCCTAATATTACTGGTAATACTAATACTACTGCTAATACTACCACTAATATTACTGCTACTGCTAATACTACCACTAATATTACTGCTACTGCTAATACTACCACTAATATTACTACTACTGCTAATACTACCGCTAATATTACTTCTACTGCTAATACTACCACTAATATTACTGCTACTGCCAATACTACCCTTAATATTACTGGTAATACTAATACTACTGCTAATACTACCACTAATATTACTGCTACTGCTAATACTACCACTAATATTACTTCTACTGCTAATACTACCACTAATATTACTGCTACTGCCAATACTACCACTAATATTACTGCTACTGCTAATACTACCACTAATATTACTGCTACTGCCAATACTACCACTAATATTACTGCTACTGCTAATACTACCACTAATATTACTTCTACTGCTAATACTACCACTAATATTACTGCTACTGCCAATACTACCACTAATATTACTGCCACTGTTAATACTACTGCTAATACTACCACTAATATTACTGCTACTGCTAATACTACCACTAATATTACTGCTACTGCTAATACTACTGCTAATACTACCACTAATATTACTGCTACTGCTAATACTACCACTAATATTACTGCTACTACTAATACTACCACTAATATTACTGCTACTACTTCCTCTAATTCTACTTCTACTGCTAATAGTACCACTACTACTACTCCTACCACTAATAATAATACTACTGCTACTACTACTACTTCCTCTAATATTACGTCTACTGCTACTTCCTCTAATTCTACTTCTACTACTAATACTACTAATAATACTATTACAACTGTTAGTACTACTACTACTACAAATAATACTGTGTTTTGCTGATGGGCTAATATCACAGTGTAAAGGACTCAACTGGTTTAACAGGTTTTCTAGGACTGATTCCAGATGCATTTGATGGTTACCTAATGGGATCTAAAGGTGTTCTTTAGGAAACAAGTGGTCTGTAATGGTGACCATTAAGCCAATTCCATTAGAAAGCAAAACCATCAGGTTCCAATCTTAATGATTCTAATGATGTTTATTCAACAGGAAATAATAATAATAATAATAATAATAATAATAATAATAATAATAATGATTCTGGTTTAAGGGGGATTCTGCAGTTTTTCCAAATTTCTGCATAATTCAATTGTTGAGCTGTAAACAGTCATTCCGAGGGGTTTGGTGTGAAATGGTTAATTGTAAAGAAACTTTCAGACCCAGATTTCTTTATGGTGGTGGTGATAGGAACCAGGAGTCACCATGACTACAACACAAACACAGACATTTTATTTACCATCCAAAATCACCAGTGAACCTACAGGAGTCTGCAGAGTTTTATATGTAATGATAAGAATGATAAAATAGTGGTCTATCTGAAAAAAATATCTTTGGGAACCATTTTATAGTGTTGTCAAGACCACTAGAGGCAAATCCAAGTCAAGATCGAGACCAGATTAAGATATTTTCAGAGTATAAAAACAAAAAGAAGGGGGAAAAGAAATTAATTTGGAGTTCACAGTGCATTAATCATGATTCATTATACACCAATCAGCATAACATTATGACCACCTCTTTGTTTCTATGCTCATTGTCCATTTTATCAGCTCCACTTACTATATAGGTGCACTTTGTAGTTCTACAGTTACAGACTGTAGTCCATCTGTTTCTCTACATACTTTGTTAGCCCCCTTTTACCCTGTTCTTCAGTGGCCAGGACCCCCATGGACCCTCACAGAGCAAGTACTATTTAGGTGGTGGATCATTCTCAGCACTACAGTAACACTGATGTGGTGGTGCTGTGTTAATGTGTGTTGTGCTGGTCTGAGTGGATCAGACACAGCAGTGCTGCTGGAGTTTTTAAACACTGTGTCCACTCACTGTCCACTTTATTAGACACTCCTACCTTGTCAGTCCACCTTGTAGATGTAAAGTCAGAGACGATAGCTCATCTGCTGCTGCACAGTTTGTGTTGGTCATCCTCTAGTCCTTCATCAGTGGTCACAGGACGCTGTTGGCTGGATATTTTTGGTTGGTGGACTATTCTCAGTCCAGCAGCGACACTGAGGTGTTTAAAAACTCCAGCAGCGCTGCTGTGTCTGATCCACTCACACCAGCGCAAAACACACTAACACACCACCACCACATCAGTGTTACTGCAGTGCTGAGAATGTTTTGCCAGATCGGTGTACATGATATGTTAATATTATTATTACAATATCTTTTGTAAAATATAAAACTGCATTATACTGTCTAAGGTCAAATAAATACAAACCAAACACACATCAAACTTTATTACTAACTGAAAACACAGTAACACCAACATTCTGTTCATTTTTGGGATATAAACCCACCCAAGCAGCCAACCTTAAAAGGAAACACACACACGCCATCTAAACCGCTTATCCTTCTGGGTCGTGGTGGGGTGCTGGAGCCTATCCCAGCTGTCATTGGGCGGAAGGCAGGATACACCCTGGACAGGTCGCCAGTCTTAAAAGGAAACCGAAGTCTTGAATATATGGACGACTATGTAAAGTTCTATCAAGGAACTGCAGTAATCAAACTGAGACGTTATAAAAAGGAATGGATCAATGTTTCAGCGTCTTTCAGTGAGTTTCTCTAGAACGGAGCATTTCACACCAAACCACTCTGAATGACTTTGTTTATGTCTCAACCGCTGAATCATGCAGGAATTTTGAAAAATCGGTGGAATTCCCCTTCAACAGAGAGTATATAAACTCGAAGCGACATTTACGATGTAAGATAAAAGACAGAGAGAATGCAACAAATGACTGCACATTTCAGAAGTTGTATTTTATTGCTAATTATTAATTTGGACATGACTTGGCTCACCAACACAATTTTTTTATTTGACATAAAACAGATGTTTTTCACTGACTAATCACAGCAGAACACTTCAGGTCTGTTAGTATCTTTCCTCAATTAGAAGTCTAACGACCGTGTAATGTCTCGGATGGGTCAATTCTCTTTTAGTAATAAAATTACATCAACAGACACGTAAAAAAAAATATTTCGGCACTTAATAGTGGCTTCCTGTTTCTATCCCCTTTTCTCTGTTTCAGTGCAAAGTTAAGCAATTTTTTTTTTTTTCTGCAGAATGTGCCAGCTGACTGGAGGTGCTGTGCTCGTCCCTCTGTTCTCATTCTCAGCAGCATTTCTTCCCTCTCTTTCTCCGGTCGCGGTCCCTGTGAGAGTTGATGTGAACCGTGTCCTTCTCTCTCTCCCGCTCCCTCTCTGCTCGACTCTGGCTCTGTTTCTTCGCCCGCAGGACCATGTGGGTAAAGGCCATGAACATCTGGATGGAGCACAACAGTCACACTTATCATGCATATCTTACACCCTTCTTCAGAAGGTTCTATCTAGAACCATGAACACTCAAAGAACCATTTGCATGCACTAAGTGGTTCTCTGCACGGTGAAATCATTCCTCAGACTGATGGAGAATGTGTTGCATATGGTTCTATACAAAACTTTTAGAAAATGGTTCTATATAGCAACAAAAAGGGTTCTGCTATTGTAACGTCAAGCTTTTAACAACAGAAGAACCTTTTTGGTGCTATTTAGAACCATTTTCATGCCATGCAACACATTCTCCATCAATCTGAAGAACCCTTTCACCATGCAAAGAACCACTTGAGCATGAAAATTGTTATTGAGTCTTCATGATTCTATATAGAACCACTACGTTTACTAAGGAACCTTTGAACAACCATCTTTTTTTTTTTTAAAGACTGTATTTCATTGGAAAAATCAGATGTAACCATTTCCCCCCGAATGCAGTTGATCAGACAAAACATGTTTGTTGTCTTTACTTTTGTGCTGGAGCTAAAGAGGCTAATGTAGCTAACAAGTAATAGAAGCCTATGTACATGTAGTAGCATAGAGCTAACTGCATATGTGAACCAAGACTGTTAAACTAGGCCTTCAGTTCAGGACATAAATGTCAAAATTCTGTCAGAAACACAGAAAAAACACCTTTTATGATCATATTTATTTCTCCTAGCACCCATATGGGATTCTAGCACTATGTAACACTAGGCTAACAGCAAATCACATTAACATTTTTATGCCCTACTAGATTAAACGTGGATATTTGAAGCTTGTAAAAGACATTCCATATGATTCAGTTGAAGCCTGAAACAGACATTAACATATATTTCACCTTGTAGCAGATTCACAGTGACAGTAAAGGCTGCTGACCCAGAGCTGGGGCAGTTCTCCATTTCTAACAACTGACTGAAATTCACTAGTCAGGCAGTCACTAATACTCAGTCAGTGATGTATCTAGAACATCCCGAAGGCCTAGAGTGACATTTTCCGCACTAAATTGGTCCCATGGGAAATTAAAACGTGATTGTTAAGTTCCACTGTCTGTTCCTAATTATGTTAGTGGTTAATCTGACAGGTTAGCACTTCTGTTCGGCTCCTGAAGGCCTAACCAATGGGGGAAGCTTGGCTATCTGTCCAGATTTTCTATTGGGCATTTCAAGAATTTGACTCTTCTGTTACCAACCAAAACTTCACAGCAAAAAAATAAGGGTATTATTATAATACTTACAGAGTTTAAGTACAACACATACTGTGATTATATTAAACTAAAATAAACTAAACAGGCATTTTTTTCCTAGAAGGCCCTGAGAATTCTAACTGCATGGCTGCATCTTCAAACACGTGCTTGGATATGTAATCTT